GTTCTGCACAGTGATTGGAGCATTGAGTTCTCTCTGGCGGGAAGCTGGTGCTTCTGGAGTCATACACAAAGCGAGCCTAAGGGGCGTAGCACTATGAAGTAGAACCCAACACATCATTAGGAGTGAAATAGTTGAATATAAAACAACGTGTTTAACTTCAATCTAAACAATAAACACATTTTGTTTTCAGAAAAATCTACCAGAAAATGATAGTGAATATTATGAATCATAAAAGTCATGACAAAAAACATAAAATAGATTATCTCTTCTATTCTTTCAACACATGATGCAGGACATTTATTTACATTTATGGACATCGGTCATCCCGTTCTCTAGGTGTCTGTTATTATTGCGTTTCCTGCGTTCGAACTGTTTGATTCTCTGATCTGCTGTTGGTGAATCGACAACTTTGTAAAGTCCTCCGAGACGACTGCTGTTGTGATTTAGGGCTCTACACAATTACACTCAATTGATTTGAAATGGGTGTTTTTTCAGTCATGTATAAAAATCGTCTTGTTTTGTGAAGGGTCAAAACAATGCTCGATAGTTCTTCTTTAAGTTGTCGCTTTTATGGAAATGTCGACTTTTCCTCCTGCGACACCATCGATTGGGAAGGCCGTGTTTGTGTTTCCACGGACAGAGGGGGAAAAGTCTGAAAAGTCTGATAGCTCTTTCACTTATATACAGCTGACTACTTTGCATGAGGCAGGGTCCTCCAGAAAGAAACCCTTTAAAGCTCAGGTACGTAACTTTCAAACCACAAAAGAAACATATGCAATAAAATCAGTTTGTTTGGTTCTTTCACCAGTTTTGCATGTGTCGTTGGTCTCCTGACAAAAATACACCATTTTAGAATTAAATATATTTTTGTATAGACCGAAATTGTCGTCTTGGCGGACTTTACAACTCAAAAGTCAATTCTCTCTCTGGTTTCTTTCTGTCCTCTCTTTGGTCTCTCTTTGGTCTCTCTCTGGTCTCTCTCTGGTCTTTGTCTGTCCTCTCTCCGGTCTCTCTCTGGTCTCTCTCCGGTCTCTCTCTGGTCTCTCTCTGGTCTCTCTCTGGTCTTTGTCTGTCCTCTCTCCGGTCTCTCTCTGGTCTCTCTCTGGTCTCTCTCTTTCCTCTCTCTGGTCTCTCTCTGGTCTCTCTCAGGTCTCTCTCTTTCCTCTCTCTGGTCTCTCTCTGGCCTCTGCACTTTAGAGCAACCTCCTTCTACTGGAGGTTTTTAAAGCTAGTCTAAAGAAACGTTTGTGCCTTTGTTTTTAACGTTCACGTTTTACTGCTTTAAATGTGTACGTGTGTGTGTGTGTGTGTGTGTGTGTGTCACGCTGTTCTCTTCTGTGCGTGTGAGTTGGGCAGCTGGTGTTGTTGCAAATGTGACAAAAAACTAAAGCTGACAAGGAAATGTTTTGCTCAAAGTGAACTGTCCAAATGGCGGCAAATGATTTCAGATGAGAAAGTGGTGCAGAGATGGGAGACTATTTTGATCTCGTTACATTATCATTTTAAATATTATTGGCAGGAAAAGCAGGAGATTTCTTGGCTTGATGGACGTCTTTCTGGAGGCGGCGTGGTTTTTTTTTCTGTGCTTTAATTCATTCACGTTTGCTGCCAATCGCTGTTATGGTCCCGGTCCTGGTCCCGGTCCTGGTCCCGGTCCTGGTCCTGGTCTTCGCTCGCAGCCGCTCTCTCTCTGTCTCTCTCTCTCTCTCTACACTTAAATTAATTTGTCGTTTAATTTCATGGTCAATAATTGATTACAATCAGAAACAGTATTACAATGACACAGCATTTCAAACAGCTCAATACGTTCTGGTGTCTCTCTGGTCCCTCTCTGGTCCCTCTCTGGTCGGTTTTTGGTCTCTCTCTGGTCTCTCTTTCTGGTCTCTTTCTGGCCTCTCTTTCTGGTCTCTCTCTGGTCTCTCTTTCTGGTCTCTCTCTGGTCTCTCTCTGGTCCCTCTCTGGTCTCTCTCTGGTCGGTTTCTGGTCTCTCTCTGATCGGTATCTGGTTTTTCTCTGGCCTCTCTCCGCTCTCTCTTTCTGGTCTCTCTCTGGTCTCTCTTTCTGGTCTCTCTCTGGTCTCTCTCTGGTCTCTCTCTGGTCTCTCTCTGGTCTCTCTCTGGTCTCTCTCTGGTCTCTCTCTGGTCTCTTTCTGGTCCACACTGGAGAACACATGTGAAATATACCATAATACTGTATAACCCTATGTTACTTATGATATATACAGTGTATGTATCGACTCAAAATGTATTTATTCAGGATCATGTCTTAAAATCTTTGGGGAGCTACCTGTAAGGGGCTGGCGAGCTACTCCCAAACTGCAGGTTGGAGACCGCTGTGTTAAGCCTAGCGTACATCGGACTGGCAACTGATTATATCCGTCGCATATGAGTTGCTGCCCCGCACACATCGGCAATCTGACGAAAACGGGCAACTCCCAGTAGCAGACCAGTCTCGGGAATAACGATGTAACGCGTACATCGACAGCAACTGGCCTCAACTACAGTGTGTTTTCTGACATAAACTGTTGCGGGCGCAATACACACAATACACACACGTTGTCGGAGCGCCGCATGGAGCGTGCACATCGGGTCATATCTCCGAAACTGAGGACAACTAGTTGCCGAAAAGTAGAACACGGGCAACTGACTGAAACTGGAGACCGACTGATCATCTCCAGTTGTAAGAGCGCTCACATCGACCGATTTCAACTGATCATCTCCCACCATCTCCTCTCAGTTTCCAAAAGCCGCCTTGCAACTAGTTGTCCCCAGTTTCTATGTCGATGTACGCTAGGCTTTAGAGTGTGGTGATGTTACCGTGTGGTGTAGTTAGCGTGTGGTGCTTTTAGCGTGTAGTACTGTTAGCGTGTGGTGTCGTTAGCGTGTAGTACTGTTAGCGTGTGGTGTCGTTAGCGTGTAGTACTGTTAGCGTGTGGTCTTTTGTAGCTGTTATCTGGATGCTGTTTCCTGTCTTTGGCGTGACATCAGTAACTTTAGACTGGATCAGAGCTTCCTCCTGATGACAGACGAGGATTGTTTCTGCAGAACGGCCTCTTCCGCTGGTTTAAGGTTCAGGACCAAAGCAACAGGAGCACCAGGCCTCGCTCTGGAGGAGAAGATGAGTCCTGGTCGCTAACTAAGTTCAACAGATCTCAAAGACGGCATTTAAAGCTGGGGTACATAACTTTCAAACCACAGAACAATGAGACTACAGTATAAACCCGCTCTCAGAACTGTTTGGTTCTATCACTAGTTACGAGTGTTGGGATTAGTCTTTCTGTTGGGACAAACCACATGTATTACTGTATTTCTGAACTTAATAAAGTTTAGGTACCCCAGCTTTAAAGTGGGTTTTGACCTTGTGCGTCCTGTAGATAATAGAGCAGCTTTGTGGTCATGAAAACCGCTTTGAGACTCAGATCTGCAGTGAAAAGGCGGTATATAAATAAAAACTTACTTACTTACTATGAAAGTGGGTCAAGCGCAGAGTGAGAAGAGCATATGAGCTCTGAGCACTTACCTGTGGTCTCTTTGAAGACTGAGAGGTTAAATTATAGACGCTGGGGTCAAAGATGGCGTTTTGGGCACGGACGCTCTGGACCCTGGAGCAGCCTGAGGAGGAGGAGGCCTGACTGTATTCTCACATTTTGTAATTCAATATCAATTCAATGTATTTGTAAACATACCTAAATCACAGCAGTCGTCGTGGAGGACTCTTTCCCCTACGCCAATTAAGAAGTGGTTTAAAAGTGGAAACTCCCCAACAACTAAAATTATCACATGGGGTAGAAATATACAATCCTAACTTTTTTTTACTTGAGAATTCCACAAGACATTCGTTCTGGGATGTTGCAGATTTGAAACATTGGCCTGCTGTGGTAAATAGGGCTGACCCAGGGAAAAACCATAGACTGTATATATTAATGGACAGAGTCACGCCTATCTCTGCCGTTCTAACTAATGGGCCAAAAAATGTGCTCTACTGGAGCAATCCAAAATGGCCGCGAGTGGTCATTATGAAAATTGTGAAAAAACGCATCTGCGCATGCGTCAGTTGGCGCAACTCCATTCATTTGAACGAGAGACTTAAAAAATTCACAGCAAGTAAACTAGAGTGGTCCAAAAAAATCACCCCCCTCAGCATTGACACACATGTGGAACGGAGCTTTGGGCCAAGAGCCAACTTTTGGTCCATCCTGTAAAGACGTTTTTGAGAGGTCTGCCAACGCTATATGTTAGCATTGGCTAATTCTACTTCTGGGTCCACCCCCAACGGCCCGGGGTGGTGTTGCAAGCATGTCAGCGCACGTCATTTTGGCCACTTTTGAGCCGGGACCCTCCCCCACTGGGAAAAACCCAAAGGAGACAATCTTTTAATCACTACTAACTAAGTAGTGATACTGACTTGAAATTGATGTTTTGGAAGTGAGACAGCTGCGCAGGTGGAAAACCGTGTGTTGCTAGAGCTCAACTAAGCAGTGGTACTTCTGAGTAACAAAGGGTAAGAAATATGGATGTGGAGTAGATAATAAGAATTGTTGTTGCAAATCTGCAACGCCTGCCTGGAGAGGGTTAATGCATATTTTTGTGTCTGTGTAGTCTCTCAGAAATAACAAACACATTGGAGCCCTTGGTGCTTAGGGAGCGGTATATACAGTATATATTTATCAATAGTTGGATTATTCGTGGACGTGGCTCGTGGCTCTTTCCGGACGCTGCCATGACTACGCTCTGTATTTGAACAAAAGTAATTTGTTAAATCCTTTCCTCATCCCAGCAGAGGTCCCAGAGGGCAGCGTCACCTGTCACTGTCACGCAACTGTACTGTACTTTTATTATGTAAATGTGCCTCCTCAGCACTTTCAACTCACTGTTTTATGTTTCCCACTGGATTTAATGTCATCACGAACGTTATTGCAGATATTTGTCATCATTTTGAAACATTTTTTAGCAAGACGAGAATGTGGTATAATTCTAATGTTCTCGTCTCTTGTGTTTCAGTCCCATCGAATCCTGTCAGAACTTCTACAAAGACTTCACGCTGCAGATCGACATGGCCTTCAACGTGTTCTTCCTGCTCTACTTCGGACTCAGGGTTCGTGAAATCCACAGGAAATCAGCCTCTTCTTCAGAGAGACCTGAGAGAGAGACCAGAGAGAGACAAGAGAGTCGAGAGACCTGAGAGAGACCAGAGAGAGACCAGAGAGAGACACCAGAGAGAGAGACCAGAGAGAGAGACCTGAGAGAGACCAGAGAGAGAGACCAGAGAGAGAGACCTGAGAGAGACCAGAGAGAGACAAGAGAGAGACAAGAGAGACCTGAGAGAGACCTGAGAGAGACCAGAGAGAGACCAGAGAGAGACAAGAGAGACCTGAGAGAGACCAGAGAGAGACCAGAGAGAGACAAGAGAGACCAGAGAGAGAGAGACCTGAGAGAGACAAGAGAGACCAGAGAGAGAGAGACCTGAGAGAGACAAGAGAGAGACCTGAGAGAGAACAGAGAGAGAGACCTGAGAGAGAACAGAGAGAGACCTGAGAGAGACAAGAGAGCGCGAGAGACGTGAGAGAGAGAAAAGAGAGACAAGAGAGGCACCAGAGAGAGAGTAGAAACCGTTTAGAGACCAGAGAGACAAGAGAGAGGCCAGAGAGAAACAGAGACTTGGGAGAGAGACCATTTATCTGGGGTCACATGGAGCAGGGGCAGAGGACAAAGTCACCTGCTGTAATCCCAGTGGAGAGCTGTACAGATTACATGTATAAAGTCAAGGTCAATAGGTTTAGGACGCGGTGAGATTATGTTTAAGGATAAAAAAGAAATAAATCAAACACACAATCAACCAATCGGATGTATTTATGTACCACAGTGTTTGCAGCGCTCAGGGTTACGACCACATCCCCTCTATAAAGTCATAATATTCTGAGATTAAAGTTGAAGTCAGAAAAAGTGTGAAGTTTATTTGAAGTCAATAGGAATCAGAGCTAATATAAACTTGAAAGTTAATATAAACTTGTTATGGACTTCCATGGCATGTTATACATATCTATTTTTTCCATATAAACAACCACATTTAATATATTCTAACATTTTAACCCAACACATCATTAGAAGTATATACAACAATATTTTAAACTTTATATTTGATCCAGTTTTGGTTAAATCCAAATAATTCATTGAGCTAGCTAGCGGGTTAACGTCGTCCATCTGTGTACAGTCTATGATTGAAATCCCTGTCTACACTTGATCCTCCAACATTTGTGGTTAAATAGTGACTAACGAGGCTCTTTCTTACACAAGAGACCAAGTTTCTATTAAGACAAAGACGGAGAAAACCACATGTATTATTATTATTCAGATAGAGTTATGTCCCCCAGGCTGATGTGGAGATTTAGACGTCTCTGTCCCTGTGTGCAGTTCATCGCGGCCAACGATAAGCTGTGGTTCTGGCTGGAGGTGAACTCTGTGGTCGACTTCTTCACGGTTCCTCCGGTGTTCGTGTCCGTGTACCTCAACAGGAGCTGGCTCGGTAAGAACCAGAGACTGTAGGTCAGTGTCTCCCAAAGTGGGGTCCGCGGCCCCCTGGTGGGCCGCGAGGGTACTGCAGGGGGGCCGCGGGAGGTCATAAAAAAAATAAAAAAAATAATATTATTATTTAATGTTAAATTTATAATGTTTTGTTTGTAATATTAAAATATTTGTGTTCATTATTTGACTTGAATAATCCACTGTAATCATTTTTGTATTACAATGTTTGTAGCAGAGGCTATTTCCCCAAAATAAAATAACCAGAAGAGCATATTCTTAATGTTGTCTTCTTGGTTATTATTTTGGGGGGGCCACGCAGACCCTTCAGATTTTTAAGGGGGCCTCTGTGTTGCTAAGTTTGGGAATGGCTGCTGTAGGTGATGTGGAGGAGAGCTGTACAGGTGTTTGTGGTCCGGGGTGGATCCCAGACCGGGGTGGATCCCAGACCGGGGTGGATCCCGGGGCCTCAGCGGGTCTCTCTGTGTGTGAGGTTTACATGTTGTCTCTCTATAGAGTGGAGGTGAAGGAGGTGGAGGAGGTGGAGGAGGTAGAGGAGGGGAAGGAGGTAGAGAAGGTAGAGGAGGAGGAGATGGTGGAGGAGATAGAGGAGGTGGAGTAAAAGGAGATGGTGGAGGAGGTAGAGGAGATGGAATAGGTGGAAGAGATAGAGGAAGGTAGAGTAGATGGAGGAGGTGGAGTACTATAGGTGGAGAAGGTAGAGAAGGTGGAGAAGCTAGAGGAGGTGGAGGAGGTAGAGGAGGTGGTGGAGGCGGAGGAGGTGGAAGAGGTAGAGGAGCTGGAGTAGTTGGAGATAGTGGAGTAGGTAGAATAGGTAGACGGGGTGGAGTAGGTAGAGTAGATGGAGGAGGTGGAGTACTGTAGGTGGAGGGGGTAGAGAAGGTAGAGGAGGCGGAGAAGGTGGAAGAGGTGGAGGAGGTGGAGGGGGTGGAGGAGGTGGAAGAGGTGGAGGAGGTAGAGAAGATGGTAGAGGCAGAGGAGGCGCGAGGTGGCAAGGAGGCAGAGGCGGTAGAGGAGGTTGTGGCGGCGGAGGAGGTGTATGAGGTGGAGGAGGTGGAGGAGGTGAAGGAGAACATAATAGTCAGAAAAACACATGATTATAAGTTGATGACATCACCTTTAAGATGTTTGGACGTTTTTCAGCGATGACAAAGATTCAATGGTTTTTATTGTTGTTTCCAGAAGCTCATGCACTTCTCAGATGTGACAAAACCTCCGTAGCCTTGAATCATTCACTGTCATAAAGCTCTTATTTACTCTGTGTGTGTGAGAGAGATTGTGTGTGTACCTGTATGTGTATATTGTGTTTGCGTTGATGCGTGAGTGTGTGCTTGTGCTTATGTGTGTGTCTGCGTGTGTGAGTGTGTGTAAGTGTGCAAGTATGTGCACTTGTTTTCAACTCCTGGTGGGTTCCATAACCTGAGATTCCACTCACGTCATGGGGACTGGTTTTACGTGGTGGGGCCCGAACACCGGACCCCACTGGTCCAAGCTTAATAATCAATGGGTAATGCTTTTCTAACGGTCCTTATGCAGTCTCTGTAAAAATATGGAAAGGACCCCTGGAGGTTTACTTTCCTGAAAAAAGTGTGTTATGTGTCGGAACCCTGGTGGTGGCATGCGGGATATCAAGGAGGGGCACACTGGGGCAATTTCAGTCCAGCAGGCTGGAGCCAATCATGGAGCAGCACAACAGAGGAAATCAGGTGTCAGGCTAGAAAAAGGTGCAAGTGTGTGGTTCATTAGGCTGCAAGAAATCATGGAGGAGCACACTGAAGCGCACGCTTACAAACCACTGGTAAGTGCTGACTACAAGTCATGACTTCAAATTGTTATATAGAATGATTACAAATTATTTGTTGTTTGTGCAGCTTAGTCAAGAGTCCCTAATTGATGAAGTCGACTCAGATTCTGACGATTTAACTGTCAAGAAGAAACCTGTAAAAAAGTATGGAAAAAGAAAAATCAAAAACACTTTTCTTCAAGACTCGGAAAGTGACGAACCAAAGGCAAATAAGATTGTTATCATGCAGCTGCAAAAGAAGAAAAATGGGGGGCGAGTATACAGCAAGAGACACTTCTGCCTCTACTGTTCAATGTCCTGCCACAAAATGTCCCGTCATTTGACTAGAAAACATGGAAATGAAAGTGACGTAGCCAGAGCATTGGCTCTACCTGTGAAATCTAAAGCACGTAAACTTCAGTTTGATTTGATCAGGAATAGTGGAAACCGTGAGCACAATTTTGAGGTTTTAAAGGCCGGCATTGGAACTTTAGTCCCAGCTAAACAGCCAAATTCCCCAGTTAAATCCAGTGAGTTTTTGCACTGTATAGACTGTGGGGCATTGCTTAAGCGAAAGTCGCTGTGGAGGCATGTGGCCAGGTGCCGGCTTTCACAGAAAGATGCCCAGGCTAAACCAGGTAGAAGTAGGGTCCAGTCCCTCTGCTCCCTAGCCCAGCCTGTACCGGAGGGCATCAGCAAAAAGCGGTGGTCTTTAATTTCGGCAATGCATCAGGATGAGGTCACGGGTGTTGTCAAAGCAGAAAAGGGGATTCTGAGACTCGGAGAGCACCTGTACTTAAAACACGGGCATGATAAGACTAAGCATGATTACATTAGGCAGAAAATGAGAGAAGTCGGTAGGTTAATTAACGAAGCAAAAACCGCAGGGAAACTGAAAACAATTAAGGATTTCTTTATTCCTTCCAACTTTAACCATGTGATTGATGCAGTCAGGTCTGTGGCTGGATATGATGAGGAAACAAATCAATACAAGACTCCATCCTTGGCCCTCAAACTCGGCCATAGCCTCAGAAAGCTAGCAGATATTCTTGAATGTGACTCAAAAATGGAGCATTGTGTTGATGAACTATTTATTAAAAACCTCCAACGAAGCCGGCTGCTTTTTGAGAAGAGGTGGGACGTCTGTGTTTCTTCTGCTGCCCTACAGACCCTCCGGCAAGCCAAGTGGAACACTCCAGACCTGCTCCCTCTGACTGAGGACGTTAGAGCCATGCATGCACATATTGAGGTATGTCGACCTGAATATGTGCAAACCCTAATAAGTGAGCCAACGTCTAAGCATTGGTCTAAACTGGCAGTTTTGACTCTTTGTGAGGTCATCATTTTCAATCGAAGAAGGGAAGGTGAGGTTTCAAAGATGCCACTGACAGCCTTTACCTTAAGAAGTAAGACTGGGATCCATTCTGACATTGCTCTGGGACTGTCCCAACTTGAGAAAAAAGCTGTGTCAGCATTTTCAACGCATTGAAATTAAAGGGAAAAGAAGTCGGAAAGTGCCGGTTCTTTTGACTCCTGAAATGATTGCTTCGATGGAGGTGCTGGTGGAGAACAGAAGGGCCTGTTCCATCTCTGACCATAACCCATACTTCTTTTCCCGCCCGGGCGCAGACACCCACATCAGGGGATCAGACTCCCTACGCCAGGTAGCCAAAGAATGTGGTGCGGTGCATCCAGAGATGCTATCCTCAACCAAACTTAGAAAGCACATAGCTACTATGTCTACAGTTCTCAATATGAAAGAGAATGAGATGGACATACTTGCCAACTTCCTCGGCCATGACATTCGCATCCACAGGCAATATTACAGACTACCAGAGGGGACACTGGAGCTGGCCAAAATCAGCAAAGTGTTGATGGCCATGGAGCAGGGAAGAGTGACGGAATTCGAAGGAAAGAGCCTCGACCAGATACAAATTGAGCCTGAAGGTAATTCTTGATATTATTAAAATATGTATGATTTTTTTCCCCTAAAGGCCACTTGTATTTTTATTTTCTGTGCGACAGGGAGAGCAGTAGAGATCCTCTCACAAACGGACGGGCTAAAAGAAACTTCAAGCGGAGAACCTTCAACCATTCATCCAGATGCACCCCATGGTAGTGGCAGTGCCCCTTCTGGTAAGTGTACCAGGTGGGGGATTACAGCCAGGCTGCTTGGTCCTCACCCTGGGAGTGTATATTGCTAATATATTTTTATTTCTCTCCCTAGAACGTGTAAGAAAGCCATGGTCTGCATCTGAGGTGAAGGCTGTGGAGAAGACCATGACACCTTTCATACAGACTGGAAAGGTCCCTGGGAAGTCTCACTGCCTGGCCTGCATTAATGCCTCACCAGATGACCTTAGACATCGGACATGGAGTGGCATTAAATTCTATGTCAAAAATAGAATCACTGCAATTCGAAAACAAAATCTAAAATAAAATTCCTTTAAAATAGTTGTTTGGTTTCTATTGACTGTTTTGTATTGCTTAAAGTCTTGGTAAAAAAAGATTATGTCTATGGGTCCCATTCTGAACGGCCCTGTCAAAGGGACCCACCAGGTAACAAAAACGTGTATGTGTGTGTCTGCGTGTGTGAGTGTGTGTAAGTGTGCATGTATGTGTGTCTGCGTGTAGGTTTTTTCACATTCTATTTCATAGTCTGGTCATTTTTTGCATAATTAATTTAATATTCATCATTACACCTGCTTGTATTGCACTTTTTGGATATTTCACTTTCCCATGTCATTACCAGATTCCCTGTAGCCGAGTAGAAATCATTTTTAGTCTAATTCAACTCTTTAGATTTTGCTTTCGAGCCTTGTTTTTCTCTCCGTGTTCCCACCTCCTTCTTAGCCTCCCACCTCAGTTGTGCAATGTTGTTGATGCTGAAGCCTGAGCTGTACTCGACTCCCTGCCTCCCTCTAGTGGCCTGTCAGGGTGTTGCAACTTATTTTTCCACGAGAATTAGTCATGAAATCTGTTTATTTTTCATAATTAAAATAAGTTAATCTTCTTATATGTGTGGTGATCTGCCAAGACATGGATTTGCAATTGTATCTGTTCAAAAATAATCTTAAAAGTGGGTTTTTAACTCTATGTGGATTTCTCATTCATAAAACAAGAAATGTACCCCTCACATTGATCCATTGATTTGATATACATCCATTCATCCAATTGTTCCATGTTTGGGACATTTCAGGGGATCCAATAACGTGACTGAAGCCAAAAATACAGTGATAGATCTAAACTGTTTTGAGAGCAAGCAATGAATGACATGGATTTGTGATTGGAAAGTTTGGTCCCACAGCATTTTTCCTGTAACTTTCTTCCATCTCTGTTTTGAATCGCTGCAGTTGTTTGTGTTGAACTGGTCTATTTTTATCGCTGTGTTTCCAGTGTGAGACTTTTTCACTTGTAGGTGTTACCTACTGCTGCTGCTGCTGCTTTTCTATGTCTCTGACTGAAAGATTAGATTCTGCACGAAGAAAAACACTTAAAAGCTGTTGTTTTGGGAGCGTGAAGGATTGGCTAAGAATTTCAATGATTAGGTTTAAACTTTACTAAATCTGAAATAACAATGGATAGGTTTTATATTGCGCTTTTCTGGACAACCAAAGTCTCTTCACATTGTCATTATTATTCATTCACCCCATACACGGTGGTGATAAACTAATATTGTAGCCACAGCTGCCCTGGGGCACACTGACAAAACCGAGGCAACCAGTAATTTGCCATTGGCCCCTCCCACCACCACCAACCATTCACACACACCAGACACAATCTGGGCAATGTGGGCGAAGTGTTTTGTCTAAGGACACAACACTGGCACTTTACTACAGCCTTTACCACAGCCTTTACTATGGCACCTGGTGTTCCTAGAGGTCTCCCATCACAGTATTAACCCGACCCTGCCCTGCTTAGCCTCAGAGCTCTGAGAGGATTTGGCTTTCACATAGATACATAGATAGATAGACACTTTATTTATACCCGTAGGAGAAATTCAGGTGTCCAGTAGCTGCCAAAATAAAATTGATAATTCTAAAAAGCTAATAATAGTATTAATCAGCCACATGCCTTCAGGTCACAGCAGCAGAGATGGAGTAGCCTCTGGGTGGAGCAGGACGGGTCACAGCAGCAGAGATGGAGTAGCCTCTGGGTGGAGCAGGACGGGTCACAGCAGCAGAGATGGAGTAGCCGCTGGGTGGAGCAGGACGGGTCACAGCAGCAGAGATGGAGTAGCCGCTGGGTGGAGCAGGACGGGTCACAGCAGCAGAGATGGAGTAGCCGCTGGGTGGAGCAGGACGGGTCACAGCAGCAGAGATGGAGTAGCCTCTGGGTGGAGCAGGACGGGTCACAGCAGCAGAGATGGAGTAGCCGCTGGGTGTCCAAATTGGTAGGCATTTGGACACAGCTGGCCTGGGAATGCCTCAGGATTCCCCCAGATGAGCTGGAGGAAGTTAGTGTGGATTGGGAAGTCTGGGTGTCTCTGCAACCCGGCAATGGATGAAGAGGAGGAAATGCATGGTTGGTTGGATGGTTAAGCCTATCTTACTGTATATGTCACCAGTTCAACATTTTGTGATTTGAAAGTTGAAAGTTTGGTACCTGAGCTTTAAAACCCTGTGAAACATAGACCTGCAGGACGTTTACAACATTCACTCTGTACATCACAATCACATGGGTTTAACATGATGTAATCTGCGGCTGTAAACCTGTGCTCAGGCGGCTGCTCTCTTCACTCCGCGCTCGCCGTCCACGCGTCGTTACATCATGTGTGATTCATTTAAGGATTACAATATTCCTAAACCCATACAAAAACACGAATGCAGCCAGCTCTCCTCCAGTACGCCCCGTCCGCTCGCTGCTTCCCTCTTCTCTCCGTGCTCCAAACGTTCCTTGTCCAAGATTAGTCGGTGGATTTTACATCAACTTGCACCAGGCTGTTTCCTGGGGATGATTCCCAAAGGAGCTTAGAGTCCAATATCCTGATGGGAAAGGGAAGATTTAAGCTGGAGATAGCAGCTTCTAAATCTTTTTTGCTGACAACCTGTTGGCCGCGAACATGACGAGACACAACATGGTCCGGACTCGCACTTCCAAACGTGTTCAGGAGCTTTTCGGACACTTTGGCAAGACTCGGCTCGCGACGTTGGTCATGGTTTCACCGCTTTGTTGGAGCGTTTCAGAAGACTGGCTTTGGGAAATACTTTGGTCATAAAGCCACTATTTTATTTGACAGTTAGAAGACTTCTCCGCTGGGAATTTTTTACGTTTTGGGAATGTTTTGGTTGGGATTGGAAGACTTCTCAGTTTGTCAGTCATCTTGTCCTGCTTTGCTTGGTGCTAATGCCAACATTTTTTTCACAGCAATTTTTGATGCTTTAAAACATTTTGTTGATATATTTTGGTTTATTTAAACACATTTCTTCATCAATTTCAGCAGACTTGTCGGGTCCTCTATTTGGGAAATACTTTGGTCATAATTGCACAACTTCAGAAGACTTCTCAGCTGGTAATTTTGGACTTTTTAGGAATGTTTTGGTTATTGGAAGACTAATTTGCAATACTATTTTTTCTCCTGCGTTTATTGATGGCAGTCCAAACACATTTTTTACAGCAATATCTGAGGTTGTGAGCAATATTTTTTTAATTTTTTTTCTCCTATATTTATTGGTGGTAATTCCATCACATTTTTGACAGTAATTTCTAAATTTTTTAGAAATATTTTGGTTGTGATTTGACCAAGATTTATCTGTTTGCAATTTCAGATTTTTATCCATATTTCTTGGCTCTTTTTCTAACACTTGGATATTTTCGTTAGACCTGTCATTTCTAAAGTTTGTGAATTTCTTGACTATTACTCTACCTTTTTACTTTCTGATTTTGGAAGACTTGGAACCTCTGGTTTCTTGGCTCATAATTCTTTTTCAGGTGATTTTTGGGAACTCTACTATTCCTACTTTTGGATTGTATCGGTTAATTTCTTTGGGAAGAGTCTCACCTTCTATTGGATTTTTTTGAGAAGCTTTGACACATATTTCTCCAATTGTTTTGGTAATAACTTTGGTCATGAGTCCAACTCTTTCCATCTCCTTAGATTTGAAAGTTCCAGTTTTGCGTATCATTTTTTCCTCAATTTCCCAAACCGATTTTGAAACACTCCACCAGACTTGACAGCTTTTTACAGGATTTTGACAAGTTCTGAGCTATATGATTCCGACCAAAATGCTGGTGTACAGAGGGGCAGAAGGCGGTGCGCACAGCCAAGCCGTCTGCAGTTCGAGACGGCGGAAGAAATCCACCGGGGACTTGTTCCAAAAGGGGTACAGGGTCCGCGTGGGGCACCCCGAGAAAGAGGAGCCCGAGGGGGTGTGTCACAGTATCACAGCTGCCTTCGGTGTGGTCTCCTACTGGGGTAAGAACCACAGGAAACGCACCTGGATCTAATATGGTTTCTGTATCGATATAGATAGATAGACAGATGTTGTGTCCTTTCTATTGGAAGACACGTCACCCACATTAGAATGAGTCTGGTGTGTGTGTGAATGGTTGGTGGTGGTGGGAGGGGCCGATGGCACAGACAGGTTGCCTCGCTTCTGTCAGTGTGCCCCAGGGCAGCTGTGTTTGGAGTGAAAGTATAATGACATGTGAAGCGTCTTTGAGTGTCCAAAAAGGCGTTGTATAAAACCGATGCATTATTATTCATTATTAAAGTCACAAAATAGTAATTAGGTCTAACAGAATTTTAGGTCACAGCTGCAGAGGTGGAACAGGTGCTGGTGAAATAAAACTCAACCCCACTTTGCCTGAAGCCCCCGCTGAAATATCAAGGCCACTTAGAGCAGAGCAGCCGTCCTCCTGTGGACTCACCTGCACCAGTGAGGGGCGGGGGCTCTGACTGCCATCCCACAGACCCAGAAATGAATTATGGGGTTGAAAATGGATGGCTGGATGGTTGTTTTTTTCTGGTTACATTTTTCAGTGTTCCCAGTGTAGAGACAAAATACAGAATGACACTAAAACATACAACAAACTGTGTCTACAACTGTGTCTTTCTGTGACTAAAAACCTGTCTGTCTGATCTGTTTGAACACTTCTGACAGCTTTGACAAATAAAACAAAAATCATTCTCGAATGGGATTGTGTCTCGTTGCATAATTCTACTCACCAACCAAAACTATGCAACTCAATTATTCAGTTCTTATATTCATTTTCCAGCATAGTATGACATGTGCTTGATCATTTTCACCTTTCTTAAAGCTGGGATACCTCACTGGGGTTTTTTTTTTTTTGAGTGGTTTCTTTGCCGACACAGAAGGGTCTAAGGACAGTGGTGATCCAGGAAATGTATTTACTTAGTTGTTCTATTCTCTGATCTGTTGTTGCTGAATCAAAACTTCTAGCCCTGCGGTTGTGATTTAGGACTATACACAAATACATTGAATTTAATTAAAATTTCAAACCACATTTTTTTATTTTATTTGAACAGTTCACTAGTTTTCACATGCATGTATTCCTGGCCTCTGTCACATCTTTAGATTAGCCTTTTTTGTCGGAAAAGTGAAAAAATAAAAGACTACCTTCACTCAGCCAATCAGCTCTCTGCTCCCAAATCATCAAATAGTGACTCACAGGGCTCTTTACAAAAGTCACATGTTCTCTGTTTTGGGGGGCGACAGTAGCTCAGTTGGTAGAGCATTGGGCCAGAAGGTCGTGGGTTCAATTCCCACCTCTGCACCTTCTCCACCGACTCCCACTGATGTCTGCTGTCGTTGTGTCCTTGGGCAAGACACTTAACCCCACTTTGCCCAAAGCCCCCACTGAAAGATCAAGGCTATGCTCACACTCAGAGAGCAGCCGTCCTCCTGTGGACTCACCACCTGCAGAGGGTCAGTGAGGGGCTGGTGCTATGAGACTTGGGTGGCATCTCTGATTGCCACCCCCCTGACCCAGAAATGGATTAAAGGGTAGAAAATGGATGGATGGACATGTTCTCTAATGAGATGAAGACGGTGTGTTGTGGCCTGATTCCTTCACAACATTTTACTTTTACAAGACTCTTTCTGTCGGTACAAACAACACGGAAAAGTCAGGGACCTCAGCTTTAACCGCAACACAACCATCTCCTCCCTCTCCAATCCCAATCCCAATCCCAATCTCTGTTTATGTCTGTTTTAAGCTTCCATGTTTTCGCCTCTATGTCCTTGACCTTATCATTTTTGAGATTTGACGTCACGGCCGCCGCACCTGTCTCTACCGGGATTATAATCTCGTGCTTTTATCGGCCGCAGGTGGAAGAAACTCAGATTAGAACAGAGTAGAGAGGGTATAGTATAGGTTAGCATGGCGTGAGCGCGGTTGCTAACATGCAGCCGCTGACCAAAGACATGGGGGAGAATTTTACAGGTGAAAAAGTTTGTAATTGTCTCGTTATTATTGAGTTTTTGTGTAATCATTTCAATTCTAATGTTGTTTTCTTTGATTTGTGTGTTTTTCTGCAGGTTTGAGGTTCCTAAGGGCCTTAAGGTTGATACAGTTCTCAGAAATTTTACAGTTTTTGAATATCCTTAAAACGAGGTAAGTGGCAAATTTACGTTTTTTTTTGCACTTCCAACTATTTTTGGTGCATGCAGTTGCGGTGCATTTGTGTGTATTGTTTTGATGTAATGGATTCCACACCTGGTCCGGTGAGTTCAGTTTGTGTTAATGTATGACTTCCCCTAAATGTTTTATCTACTCTTTAAATGTATTTAAATTAAAGCTGGGGTACCTAATCTTCAACTATTTCTCACTATCCGGCCAAATTGTTCACGAGCAATAGTAAGATATTTTCACAATTATTATTTCTCACTGTAGAAAGTTAAGAATCCAAGAAATTATAAGTTAAAGCTAGGGTACTTAACTTTCAGAATATATTACATCACAAATTCTTGGTTTTCACTGCAAAAAATGATAAAATATGAGGTAATAATTGCTTAAATTGGGTGTTTTTTAAATAGTAATTTTATACATTCTGACTGTGTTAAAACATTTGCCATTGGGACAAAGCTGTTTTAGTCTTTTTTCAAGAACTATTGCGTTATTTTCTGCCATTTATTTTGCCAGATTTGAGCAATTGTTGACTTATTTTTCCTCACTTTTGATCAGTGGGTAAATATGGTATAAATGATGGCTTTACTAAATGGTCAGACCTACTCACAAAATAGTACTCACATTGATATACAAATTACTATAGATTTCTCATAATACTGTAGATTTCTCATTGTAATTTGACTTCAGAATCGCATGCATCGCTGATATTAATCTGTGTATTTGTCACAATGCCTCCGGTCCTGTGCACAGATGTCCTAGAAGCTTATATCTTGATAATCTCTTCCATTCATAGATCCAGTCACAAACATTCACTCATAAATCTGGTTTCTCTGAAGAAGACTTTGAACTGCCTGTAACACATTTATATACATTTTTTGTTTTTCGTCTTGTGTCTTTTGCAGTAACTCCATCAAACTGGTCAACCTCTGCTCCATCTTCATAAGCACATGGCTCACAGCAGCAGGGTTCATACATTTGGTGAGTGACGAACGACAAAGGGAATAGGATTAGAACGAGCCCGCATTGTCCCTCATTAATAATCCTGGTGCTCTAGGTTAAACCTCGGGTACTTAACTTCAATATATCAGCATAGTATTTCATTGTAGCACTCTCGCTTCTCAGCAAGAAGGTCCTGGGTTTGAATCCCGGTCGGAACAGGGCCTCTCTGATTGGAGTTTGCATGTTCTCCCCGTGTCTGCGTAGGTTTCCTCAGGGTGCTCCGGTTTCCCCTACCACTAAAAACATGCACAATAGGTATTAATATAAATGAGCGAATGACTGGAGGGTGTTTGGTCGGAGGCTTTGATGCACCAGTGTCAATCAGCTCTCAGCCCTAAGAGTCAAATAGTGGCTCACAGGGACTCACCGCTTCGACTCTGTCTCTGTTTGCAGGTGGAGAACTCGGGCGACCCATGGGAGAACTTCCAGAACTCCCAGGCGCTGTCGTACTGGGAGTGTGTGTATCTGTTGATGGTCACCATGTCCACGGTGGGGTACGGAGACGTCTACGCCAAGACCACGCTGGGACGCCTCTTCATGGTCTTCTTCATCCTCGGAGGACTGGTACAAAAGTCTTTCTCTACATTTGTACACGCAGAAACACCTCCTCCATTGTTCTGTTGGGTTTGGAGTCATCCACAGGCACTGGGCATACTATCATTCAAATATAACAATAATCAATTCAGATTCATTTACTTTTATATTGTCCTAAATCACAACAGTAGTTATCTCAGAGGACAAGGAGAGACCAGAGAGAGACCAGAGGGAGACCAGAGAGAGATCAGAGGGAGACCAGAGGGAGACCAGAGGGAGACTAGAGAGGGAGACCAGAGGGAGACTAGAGAGGGAGACCAGAGAGACCAGAGGGAGACCAGAGGGAGACTAGAGAGGGAGACCAGAGAGAGACCAGAGGGAGAAACCAGAAAGAGAAACCAGAGAGATACCAGGAGACCAGAGAGAGACCAGAGAGAGACCAGAGAGAGACCAGAAGTAGACCAGAGAGAGAGACCAGAGAGAAAGGAGAGAGACACCAGAGAAAGAGACCAGAGAGAGACCCGAGAGAAAAACCAGAGAGATACCAGAAGGAGATCAAAGAGAGACCAGAGAGAGAGGAGAGAGACCAGAGAGATACCAGAAGTAGACCAGAGAGAGAGAGACCAGAAAGAGAGGAGAGAAACCAGAAGTAGACCAGAGAGAGAGGAGAGAGACCAGAGAGAAACCAGAAGTAGACCAGAGAGAGAGACCAGAGAGACACTATAGAGACTAGAGAGAGACTAGAGAGACCAGAGAGAGAGATCCGTGAGAGTCCAGTGAGAGACCTGAAGGAGATCAGGGATAGACCAGAAGTCAGGTCCCCCAGCTCTAATAAAACAGTTGTAATCCTAGCTTTACCATCAAAGATATTGTAAAGTAGAGTGATGGTATGGCCAGCCTGGTCTCACCCTCAGCATTTGTTGTCGTGACATAATGCTGCTGTTATTTGCATGTTAATCATTGTTTTGTTTTAGTTTTTCTATTTCAGGAGGCTCCATCCCAATCTCTCTTTTCCAACAAACACCATGACAACGGTTCATTTGGGTCCACTGCATCGATGGTCAAATACCTGACTTTCTGCACATGGTATCATCAGAGGTCCCTACTGTAGTTATGATTTTAGAACCACAAAAGACACCAGCCACATTACAGACAGCACCAGTGGGAGATTATTCGAGATTTAGGTCATGGAAATAAAGTGTTTTTTTTTTTATAGAAAATTTCCTCTTTTGTGTAATTATGAAGTTACAAATTTGTCAATGCCTCAACAACAGATCAGAGAATCAGGAGATACAATAATAACAAACCATTGGTCCATAGCGAGCGGGATGACCATTCTCTGTAAAATTGTTAAATATTTTATGGACCGTTGGCCTTTTCCACTGAGTTTAAGGGTATATTTGCAGCATCCAGGGTTTGATATTAAAAAAATTATAATAAAAGAGAACCATAATACATAATAATTCTTCTTTCATAATTAAAACACATATTTGTAGGTTTAATTTTAATCAAGATACCTTACTGAGACAATTCTAACTTGTACAATAATACAAGTTCTTTCATCATAAATACAGATATTTGGAGATATGTGCAGAAGTCAGACCATCATCCTTCTCCTCCTCCTCTTCCTCCTCCTCCCCCTCTTCCTCCTCACTCCAAATGAACCGTCATGTGTTTGTTGGACTAAACATGGCACAAAAGGATTTCCATTAATTTGTATTATTATTATTTCACCAAAACTATAAAACATTTTAGTTCCATTATCTCTTTTTCTTCCACTTTTCTTCTGCATTAATTTCTTCAGAAAACATTCATGACCTTTTATTTTCCTATAATCCTTAGAAACTTAACTCAATATTTAACAGAAATCAAGCATTTATTCCTATTTTGGCAACCCAGACTCTTACTTTAGGAACTACATCTGGATGAATACCTGATTTTGGCTTTTCTCACTGAAATAGATTTAGTATTAGTAAATTAGTAATGTAGTTACTAAGTATAAGTATTCTGTTATGAATGTATTTTATAGATTGGTAAATGCTTAATGAAACAGTAACTCATACATTGTTTCCATCTCAACCGAATGATAATTATGATCTTTCTTGTTTTTATTATTAATCAATTATGAGGTCATTAATTTCATCTGACCTTTTTAGTATTTTTAACCTTTTAGTAGTTAATACGTACCACATGTTTTATTATTTGCAGTAACTTACACAGAGATAGTGAAACAATAAAAACATCTATCTTTGTACAATGTTTTTATTTGAACAAAAATACCAATCACGGGTTTCTTTAACTTAAACTTAACCAGCAATAATTTCAGCAACTACTTTTAACTTTTAAATCATTTTGAAATTAACGAATAATCAGTATTAACCTGTGCACTTTAAAAATAAGTCATACTTTTATTTATAGACAAAATAATTGCAAAGCCTTTTCTAAAGAAATGTTCTAAATAGATGAATACATAAATAAATACATACATTAAAACACATATAGATTTACACATACATGAATGAATTAAATAGATATTACTTGTGTAAACATGTAAAATCGTACCTGTATGTGTATTAGATTTAGAAACATATATATTATTATATTATTGATGTTTCTATCTCGGAGCTGGGTTGCCTCCGCTCGTCCTAACTCTCTCTGAACGCCTGCTCTAGCCTCTTCTCTGTCTATCTTCTCCTTAGGCCATGTTTGCCAGCTACGTCCCTGAAATCATAGAGTTAATAGGAAACCGCAAGAAATACGGCGGTTCCTATAGTGCCGTAAATGGTCGAAAGTAAGTATTTGAGGCTCCTGTCCGGGAAAGCCTCCGCATGCTTTTTTGTTTTGTTTTGTCTCTGTTTATGCATGTAGGCCATGTTTGCTCGCTACGTGCCCGAAATTGCAGCTCTCATCTTAAATCGCAAGAAGTACGGAGGCAGCTATAACTCAACCAGAGGCAGAAAGTAAGTGTAAAAACTGAGATCTACGGTGTGTGGTGAGTGTGACTTTTAGATTAGGGTGGATTTAAAGAAGGAGAGGTTCGAAAAGAGCTCTTAAAGTCACACCGTGGTTGAAGAAAAGGCCATTTGTGATGTCACTGCCGCTTCACTGCTGCTTTGGATGTCAGATCAGTCATGTTTACACTGGAGAAATCTCAATAATGTCCTATTCAAAGCTGGGGTACAAGTATTTTCTGTTTGTCCCAGCAGAAAGATTCGGTAACACTTTAGTTTAGATTAGCCCAGTTTAGATATTTAAGTGCTAAATAGTGCACCCTAACCCTAATCAATTCCTGTCTAAAGAATGTCAATCCAGATTTCCAAGTTTGTATTGGCTACCTCCAAAATCGGAATATCACCTCGACGTATAATGGAAAATCCCGAACCCCATCCCTTGCATAAAGCCCTGTTTGCACTAGCCCTACTCGGCCCATCTCGGTTTTACTCTACTCTACCTAGTTGCGTTTCCATTACGCTTTTGTCTCTGGTATCGTATCCAAGCCACCTAACTAGGGCTGGGATAAACGATTATTTTTTAAACGATTAATCTAGCGATTATTTTTTCGATGCATCGATTAATCTAACAATTATTTTTTTTCGCTTCAATTCGATTCGATTCTCGATTATCTCCCCATTAATTGACTAATATTGATGTATACGTGTTGATTTAAATATTTTAATGAAAAAAACATGAATTCCTTCACAAAAAAATATTTATTGCTTGCTCTTAAAATTCAAAAATAAGACATTCTTAGAGGTAGCATAAAACCTTAAAGCCTTGAAAACACAGCTTACTGAAAAAAGTGCATCTTATCATTCTTGAAACAAACATTTGATGCTTAGCATTCAATAAAAATATGAAAAAGTTCAGCCAAATACTTGTGTAGAGCAACTAAAAGAAAACAGTAACCAATGTAAACTTGAAGGCTTTAAGCTAAACAAAGAGTGCTTTTCCAGCAAAAACTGTGGGAGCCATCAGCCTGTCATGGCGTCCTTCCTGAACCAACAGAGTTTAACATTTAAGTTGAAGACACATAGGCCTATATTACTGAAGTCCATTAATTAAAGTGTATCTCTTAAATTCTTCATTCATATAAAAATAACAGTCAAAACTCTGCCACTCACCTTTTTTATTTATTTATTTATTTAAGAAAGCTTTTAGTTGATTGGGTTCTCACTGATGTCACTTTTAAGTACATAAAATGTGTAATGTGTGTAAGTGTATTTTATATTGTTTTGTATTTGCCCACTGTCCTGTACAGCACTTTGTGATTTTTATCTGTGAAAAGCGCTTTATAAATAAACTTTACTTACTTACTTACTTACTTTTTCTTAAACTCAAAATTCAAAAATAAAATTCAAGTAAGAGTGTACAAGAGAAAAACAATGCATTGTGTAGCAAATAAAAATGTCAACCAGTCATCCTTTCTTTTAGAGTTACTGAAAGAATACAGTAGAAGTCATCTCAGAGGACTTAAAACAACATTGAAGTCACCAACACAGATCAGAGAATCAATCAACAGTTAAACACATTAAGGATATTGAACACATGTTGAAAAATGTCCATATACGGCAGGCATGACAGTGAATGATACATGTAGGGGCTATTACGGGCGCCAATATTCCGTTTGATACAAAGAAAGACAGACTAGTTGTAAGCTGTAGAGTTGCCACAGGACGCGTCATCAGCCTACGTCAGCAGCCGCGGACTGCTATGAAAACATTAGCTTTGTGGTTTCACAGGCGCAGTTGACTGCTTAAACTAAACTTTGCACGAAACTTTGACTCTTAAAACCCACATGTGACAAAACGGAACCATCAACATCTCGCCTCAAATTGCATTAAAAGTGACATTCGTGTCTGAATTTGTTCGTATTTTAACTTTTAAAGAAATTCACGGTCCGCCATCTTGGTTTGCTTCGGCTGCCGTGAGACGCGCATGCGCAGGTTTGCATTACATCATAAACAGCTGAGGCTGTGCATCTCTTCAAGGCAGTGTATCTCAGCTTTACACCGGCTTGCACTTCTCTAACACGGCACTCGCATTGCTAGTGCTACCGCTCGCCGCCATCTTTGTTTTGTGTGTGACGCACCGACGCGCATATTATACGTCGGTGTATTTTTTGCGTCAACGTCACCGATTACGTCGACGCGTTGTCCCAGCCCTACACCTAACCCATAACAAACCAGTATCCGGGTGATTCCGGGGTTAACCATGGCTCCTAGCAGCACTCTGGACAAGCACTGTCAGTTAGTACACTTTAGTACCAGCTTGGCCTGGATAGAACAAGGACCAAGAGGGACTATGGAAGGACCTGGTATGGTTAGACAGGTAGAAATGCTCTCAATCGGAGTAGAGTAGAGCAGGGCCAAGTAGGGATGGTGGAAACGGGGCTGTAGTTACAAAATGTTGAGGTTTTAAAATTAGGTATCCCAGCTTTATGTTAGTTGCTGTTTACCCACAAACCAAGTCAGATATTACCATAAAGTCGTTTCATTGTTTCTGTTCGCAGGCTAACACGGCTGCAGGTTAATATTCCACATTAAATATTGCACTTTTATGAATAAAAAATACTCCCTGGTGTTATTGAGATTTACTCCTTACATCTGTGTTGGGTTTTGGTAAAACATGAAGGATTTTCTCTATGTTTAACAATTGATATTTTATCATTCTATGTTTATTTTACCGAGAGATAGTTACGAAAGGACACTATACTATTGACAGCTAAAGATCCAACAGATACTGGAGCAGAGCATATTTAGGACCAGTGACAATGTTCGGAAGCACTGATAGACAATCAGAAAAATATTTATGTTGAAAATTAAAAATATAATAATAATTACACCAGGGATAAATAAATGTAAATGTACAGTATATATAAATGTATATATTTATATGAAAGTTTTGAAAATGTGTCAAAAAGTCAAAGTTGCAGAGTTGCTTCCTTTTTGACTAATCACCCTGTTTTGTTATCAACAGTATATTTGAAAGTATTTGCTCATGAAGGGGTGAAACTTTATTTTTATGGCACTGAAATATATCTGGATTTTCAAAAAACGACGTAAAATGTTCTAGTTAATTGTTTTCATTTAACCCTTTTTTAGAATTCGGTGTAGCATTAGCACTTAGCATTAACATATTGAGGAAATCCTTCATGCTGTAAATGTCGGTGCCCATTCTATTGTTTTTGATGTTTTTTATCACATTGTTTTGAACACACTTGACATCATCTGAAACCTGCCATGAATACATTTACATTTAACTTAAGAAATAGCTACAATAAAAACAATAGACATAGATCACAGTAAAGCACTTTCGCATCCGGAAACAGCTTCATTCACCCATTAACGCAAACAATAACTATTATTACAAAACATTTTAATCATACTTCATTCTTTCATTTCTGCATCTGCTTTCTCACGTTTTTTCTACTTTGGAAAAACTTACTGCTGCTGCTTTGCTTCTTGGCCTTTCTTCAGTCCAACCTACACCTTTAGCGCTAGTAGGAACCAAACGCATGGCGGCCCAGAAGTGACGTAAACAAACAGAATAAAAACTACCCTATTTTCCGGACTATAAGCTCTCATTTTTAGAAAGAAATTGAATGTTGTACGTGTGCGAGCCGGATTAATATTGAAAAATGTAGCTCAAAAACATTCATCATGTTCTTACTGTGAGTAATAAGAGTAAGAAGTGAGTCACTGACTGTTCTTAATATCTTCCAGTGTGAAACAGAAAGATAAGCAGAACCAAAAAAAGCTATTTTAAGATGGATTTAATTTTCTTGATTGACAAATCTTACTATTTAAGGACCTTTGTGAACTACTCATCAATTCTGTTGGTCTAATGTTACTTAGTGAAATGCTTTTGGTGCCGCAGAAGAAAAACACAAATATCAAGCCGCACCTTACTAAAAGCCACAGCCTTCAAAATGCAGGAAAAAAAACGCTGCTTATAGTCTGGAATTTATGGTAGAGCTCTATGGAAATTTGTGGAGAAAACAGAACAATGCGTTTGAGATGATTTTATCAAATTACTTGCTGGACTCTTAAGCCCTCCTTATACAAACCATACCAGCTACGTTTGAAGAGAAAGTACTTGTATTTTGTCCTCATACAGGTCGACATGATTTAATGATGAGGTGTTGACTTGTGATGGACAAAACTTGCAAATAACACAATAAAACCTGAGGTGGCAAGCATTAGCTTACGTTAGCATGTTAGCTTACGTTAGCATGTTAGCTTACTTTAGCATGTTTACCCTAACCGTTAGCTTCCTATTTTGACAATGAACCATTGTCCTGTACTACTAATACTACAAAGTCCTGGATCTACAGCCTTTTAGTCCAGCAAGTACAGTACTCAGAAACAACAGTATTAGTAAAATTAGTATTTTTGGCTCGACAAGTTAATGGCTACGCTTTGGCTGTTTTTGCTGTTTGTGGTACTTATACGTTTCTGATAAATATTTGTTGATGAATTGTCTTGTAAAATCTGTTTTTCCAGATCAAAAATGTATTTGTCAGAATAAGTATTTGTTGAATGTGGAAATTCATGGATATTGTAAATTGCTAATGTGCATGTAAGTCCAAATGGCAAACGAGGTAAGAGATTTTTTGAATATATGTCTATTTTCATATTTTTATATATTTACCACCAGAACAAGCAACAAAAATACAATGATTATATAGATATATGAAGATAAATGTGGTGCCAGATCCCATCAGACCTTAGAATATAAGCAGGGAATGGCCTGGTTAGTACTATGATGGGAGACATCTGGGAACACTGGGTTGCCACAGTGGGGCGGCTGCAGCTGTAAAGTGCCTCTGTGTCCTTAGCACATTTCTGGCCAGCACCTGATCATCTCATCAGGTGCAATTGTCAGGTTTGATGGTACAGTCTCTTTGATCTTTTTTCTTTTCTATTTTCTGGAAATGTTTCATCACTAACTTTATAGGCATCTTACAAAACTAACCACATAATAACATCATTGTATCTAAACTCATTAAATATAATTGCAGCGGAAATAATTGAACACCAAAACCGCCAGAGCAGTCAAATAGTTTTACGAGTTTCACTACTTCTATCAAATCAAGCAATTCATATGTTTTATTTGGAACAGTGTGTTGCTATGGTAACTATCATTCTTTGGTGGAAAAGCAAGGTTCACTCAGCTTTGAACCAGGTCAGGACTAGCGCCATGAGAAATGGGGCTTTAGCTGCCATAGCAACCAAAACAGCTACATTTTTTAATTTGAATGAATGGAGCCGTCAAAATGACTGCTTTGGAAATTCTTTGGGAATTTCATTATAAAAACAATGATATAGAAATAAACTACATAAAGATATGGAACAAGTTACAATGTTATGAAGAGCACAAATGTAATGAGTAATTACACTTCCGAAAAAATAAAAGCCGTCAAATTGGCTGCTCTGGGAGTCCTGGTTTATTCATTTTCGGCCACAAACAGACGACACAAACATTAACGTAGGACTCACCCAACGTGTCACAGCCGCTTCTATGATCTGATATGTTCATAATCCTGAGGTAATCCTGCGTAATCTGAGCCATGAAGTCACACACACATGCCGCAAACTAAACATTTCCGAGCATTAATCTCGTGTTTAATCTAGGTCAGAAGAGACCAGATATTATTAGATGGGTTTTAATGAAGCTGCTAAGTCCCGATCTCTCGCCAGTTCTTTCTTACAAATGTTACTTTTACATTCAAAAACCCTGTAGGAGTTTTGAAATATACAACTTTAATACAGCTTTTATAACAGATTTAAATATACAGCTTTTATAACGCCAGCTGTGTGCGCGAGGATGCTCCACAGTTAGCTCCAGCGCGTTCCTTTGCTTTCATGTTTATCAATGGAAAAACTGTTCAAACCTGAAAGCAGGGGTTTAGTTTTTTATGTTGAGAAAAAATAATCTAAGAGTATCTTTATTCGTCTCACAGTGGGGAAATTCAGGTATTGCAGCGCACTTACAGGACAGTAGTAAGAGTACACAGAGACAAGTCGCTGTAAATACATTAATAATGGGAGCAATAAGATACAGCATATCAATATCTACATACATGCACCTGCGAGGCTAACACACACATTCTCTCCATCATTGCTACATATATAAAGGATCCATACATGGTTTTGTTTTCAGTTTCTTTTAGCAGTCGTGTCCTGGTTTCTGTCTTGCAGACACATCGTCGTCTGCGGCCACATCACGCTGGAAAGTGTCTCCAACTTCCTCAAAGACTTCCTACACAAGGACAGGGATGATGTCAATGTAGAAATTGTTTTTCTCCATAAGTGAGTATGTTTTTGTATCTACAGTATCTATTTGTTTTAATAAGGGAAAGTAATCCATCCTGAGATATGTATTAGCTAACGATACATGTAAGCTAATTATGGCTGTGTATTTGAACTATAGACTATATATCCATTGCAAGCATCACAAGGCTTCATCCGCTCGGTGTGGCATTTGGAAACTGAAACTTCAAAGTGGTCAGACTGGTTTGGGAGCCATGCCAAATTGAGCCCATTATATTAGCGTACTTCTTCTTAACCTTTTGTACACTTTGCAGCACCATGGCACAGTGGTTAGAGCTTGTACCTCATAGCAATAAGGTTCCCAGGTTCGCACTCATCTCTAGGCCTTTCTTTGTAGAGTTTCCCCATGTCTGCATAGGTTTCCTCCAGGTGCAATAGGTCAGGCATGCTCCTCCTGTATCCTAACCCTATCCTGACTTACTTAAACATACTTATATTATTTTTAATGTGATAAAAGTTGTTATTTCTGTCTGCAGTATTTCCCCTAATCTTGAGCTGGAAGCCTTGTTCAAGCGTCACTTCACTCAGGTCGAGTTTTACCAGGGATCGGTCCTGAACCCACACGACCTGGCCCGCGTCAAGGTCTGCACTATTCTACTGCTCTTTGACATTAAAGCTGCTCTATGTGGGTTTTCTGGTGATGGGCCATCCATATTATTGTTACAGAGAAAATTCTATGTGTGTGGCAAACATGTTATCCCTGGTTTTTCTCTCTGGTCTCTTCCTCGTCTGTCTCTGGTCTTACACATCTCTCTTTGGTCTCTCTCTATGCTCTCTCCCTGGTTACTCTCTGGTCTCTCTCTATGCTCTCTCCCTGGTTACTCTCTGGTCTCTCTCTATGCTCTCTCCCTGGTTACTCTCTGGTCTCTCTCTATGCTCTCTCCCTGGTCTCTCTCTGGTCTCTCTCTATTCTCTCTCCCTGGTCTCTCTCTGGTCTCTCTCTATGCTCTCTCCCTGGTCTCTCTCTGGTCTCTCTCTATGCTCTCTCCCTGGTCTCTCTCTGGTCTCTCTCTATGCTCTCTCCCTGGTCTCTCTCTGGTCTCTCTCTATTCTCTCTCCCTGGTCTCTCTCTGGTCTTTCTTTGGTCTTTCTCTCTGGTCCTTCTCTCTGTTCTCGTTCCAGTCTCTCTCTCTGGACTCTCTGGTCTCTTCCTCGTCTCTCTAAGGTCTCTCTCTGGTCCCTCTCTCTGGTCGTTCCCTAGTCTCTTCATATTTAAGGCCTTGAAAATGTTATTCAAGCAGTTAACATTTTATTGATTCCAAGCAATTCTCTGGTGTTTGTAGATCGAGTCGGCGGATGCTTGTCTGATTTTGGCAAACAAGTACTGTGCCGACCCGGACGCCGAAGATGCCTCCAACATCATGAGGTGAGAGCTTTAAAATTAATCAGATTTAATCTAATTATTTTCTGGTGAGAAGCGCTTGACTGTATCAGAGTCTAATGGACTCTGAAGGGACGGTGATTTAGACTGAGAAATAGTTTCATGGATTCAATTAGATTTTCAATTGCTTGTGGTTGGAAAGTTAGGTATCCCAGCTTTAAATTAGCCTGGCCAACACCATGCAGTCTGGGAAACTTCTTGTAATTTTCTCATATGAGAGCTCTGGTTTATGATTGTTCAGAGCTGTATATTTGGCTCAAAGTCTCTCATGTGAGTCGCTACGAAATTCAACCCAATAATGTTTCTCAAGCGATAGTGTTTCAATGTGAAGGGAAGAAGCAAAAAATATTAATGATTGTTACGCAATGGTGCCAAACAACTACTGTTGTTTGTTCAAGTTAAAGGAGTTATACCCGTTTCTGCAAGGTTTGAATGTTTAGCACCGCCCCTCAACTTGCTCACAGGCTTCTCCTACGCTCTCATCCCACGGAGCCATCTAGTTTTATTTGCGATCTAATACATATGCAAACATTAGCATTAGCGCAACTTAAAATCACTGATGAAATGGTTCAAAAGCAAAGCACTGTTAACAAAATATATAACTGAAAGATTACCGCTAGTTTTGCGTCCGAATGTGGTCCGAGCATAGATAGTCCGAGGCAATCCCGCTACCACTGGTCTCTCCCATAGACAAGTCTCTCTGGATGCGATGTAAGCTAGCTATGTTCACCCGGGCTTGATTTCTTCTTTGATCATTTTTTCGCTTTAGTTGCCTCTTCTATTCCTCACTCTTGCATCGTTTGGGCTGTTTTGCTGTGTGTGCAGTTACAGCCAGAGCAGGTATAGCTACTTTCTGCTAACATGCTACTGTGTTTACCAGTGCAGTAGATGCTAGAGGACGCAGCCTGTTCGTAATAGCGCCACTCCTCGTTCTGTGATTGGAGGAGAGCTAGCGTCTCTACTCAGCACTGTTTACGGCCTGAATTCATACACAGCTGAATCAATGAGCTCAAGTTTTCAATTAAATTACGGATTTTGATAAAACTTGTATGTCGTAAGACACATTTTTATGAAATAATTGAAAAAATCAGGTATAGCTTCTTTAAACATGAGGAACAATAGCTTCTGCTGCCACCTTCTGGATTTGTTAACAAACTATATTCTTCCATCCGTCCAATAGTAGTGCATCATTGTCATCTTGCTGTTTCCCCCCATTCTATGATTGGTCCCAAATCCATGCAAACATTTCAACCAGGGTTTCCAAACTAGGCTAGCTTTAAGTAATCACTATATGTTCTTCAAACTCCTCCGTTCTCTCCCAGAGTCATCTCCATAAAGAACTACCACCCCAAGATCCGAATCATCACCCAGATGCTCCAGTACCACAACAAGGTCTGTGCTAGGATTTTGTGACGTAACATATTTATCTATATATTTTTCTTGATTTGCTTTCCCCTGCACAACCAGTGATAAGGAAAGGGAAATGATCTGACTCTGCTTAGAAGAAAAGATTAATATATAAAACAGACTACATTAGTTGAATTCAGGCCTAACTTGAGCCTGACCTAAGGAAAGATTATGGCAAAAAGACAAAGGCACAAAGGTGTTGTTGTTCTTTATATAGTAGTAGCTGAAATGTCGTAGTGGAAAGTCAGTCCATACATTACATTGATACTGTTTTTGGTTAAACACCGAGCTAAGGCTAAAGAACCTGTCAGATTAATCAATCTCTCAGACCTTCCAAGACGAGAACACAGATATGTTATCAAAACATAGTAATGTTGCAGAATATGTTGCACCTCTAAGTTTGATGCAATGGGCAGAAACGCTGGAAATCCCCCCTAGTGGCAGACATAACCAGTCGATCAAGAGTTCAAGGCAGATCCATCAAAAATATACAAAAACAAAGATATGACAAATAACTGAATGCAAACATCTGAACTTTAAACTGTATTTATAGGGTTTTTTTTTATGGATCTTGTGACTCCTGTGTGTCCGTCTGTAGGCCCACCTGCTGAACATCCCGAGTTGGAACTGGAAGGAGGGGGACGACGCCATCTGCCTGGCCGAGCTGAAGCTGGGGTTCATCGCTCAGAGCTGCCTGGCTCAGGGTCTGTCCACCATGTTGGCAAACCTGTTCTCCATGAGGTCCTTCATCAAGGTACTGCCCCACGTGTCATTCCAACCATAGACTGGACACAGACGGACAATGCTAACCGGCTAGCTCAGTGATTACTCATCACTTATTGTGGTCAGTAGTTGTGTGAAGCCATTTATTTTCGTTTTAACATGTTTTCTATGTCTAACGGTCTCTCTCCTTGCTCTCTCTCTGGTCTCTCTCTGGTCTCTCTCTGGTCTCTCTCTGGTCTCTCTCTGGTCTCTCTCTGGTCTCTCTCTGGTCTCTCTCTGGTCTCTCTCTGGTCTCTCTCTGGTCTCTCTCTGGTCTCTCTCTGGCCTCTCTCTGGCATCTCTCTGATCTCTCTCCTGGCTCTCTCTCTCTTTCTAGCCTCTCTTTGCTCTCTCTTGCCTCTCCCTGGCCTCTCTTGCCTCTCCCTGGCCTCTCTTGCCTCTCCCTGGCCTCTCTTGCTTCTCTCTGGCCTCTCTCTGGTCTCTCAGTTTCTCTGACAGTAGAGCTGCGGATTGATGTCCAGTAAATACCTGAATTTCTTAATCGTTCCAAAACTTTTATCATCATTTTTGGGCTAACTTATGCAAGGTTTCCAAGTCATATTTCGTTCTAACCAAATCAAATGTGTTTCAGATTGAGGAGGACACATGGCAGAAGTATTACCTGGAGGGAGTGTCCAATGAGATGTACACGGAGTATCTGTCCAGTGCCTTCGTGGGGCTGTCCTTCCCCGTCATCTGCGAGTGAGGATTTACTCTTTATTTATTCGTGTGTATGTGTATGTGTATGTGTATGTGTATGTGTATGTGTATGTGCAGGTAGGTCACAGTTGCTGGATATAGCCTCAAAATTTTTGTGGCATTTTGTTATTGTTCGTACCATCAATAACAAAATGACACAGTAACAGTGTGAGTGCTTTGTTTTAGTTTGGGTCTGAAAATAAAAAAATAATAAAACAAAATATTTAGGACTAAACAGCTAAAAAGTTATACTGGAAAAACAAATAATACATTCTATTCTATTCACAGATTGTGCTACGTGAAGCTGAAGCTGCTGCTCATCGCCATCGAGTACAAGTCCGACCAGAGAGAGAGCAGGTACGAGTCCAATTGTACCATGTTTTTCTGAATATCTTAAATACAGTTGAAATTCTTGCTTTTTTTTGTCAAAGAGAGATAGTGCCTTCATTATGCTTTTGAATGCAACCAAAAATAGGGAAAAATAGAGTTGTATGTTCATGTTTTTAGTCTGTACATAAACAACTGCAACCTTTGTTGACCCAGAGGTTTCCTCCGGGTGCTCCTGTTAGAAATGAATGTCTAAAATTCTCCACAATGCATCATGAACCGGATGAGGTTCCTGTTATAGTAAAAACACACTATAATTCTCTGCAATAGTCAGGGGAAAATTCTCACTTTTACCACTAGATGGCGGTGTCTCGTCTCTTCAGTATTTTCACATTCTAAAACATAAAATGACAAAGTAAAAGTTTAATGGATGAAATATACACAAATGATGCTGAGTAGTTGTTGGTTTTGATTTTAAATAAACTGTTTGAATATTCACAGCACGTTGATAAACCCCGGGAACCACGTGAAGATGACGGAGGGGACTCTTGGGTTCTTCATCGCCAGCGACGCCAAAGAGGTCAAACGGTAAAGACTTTCACATTTAACTGTTCAACTGAGATCCTCCCATAGACTGCATATAGATAGACAATACAGAATCCCAACAGGGAAGTGCTCATGGGTGAAGTTTAGCTCTAACTCTCGCTGGCTCCTTTTGACATACATGTAAAAGTAAACTCCTCTAGCTCCTCTTGTGTATATATATGTATCTTGTTTTGTTCAGCACTTTGTTGTCTTGTGTATGAACAAATAAGCTTGCCTTGTATATCACATGTATAATATGTGTGTTTGTCCTCAGAGCCTTGTTCTACTGTAAAGCCTGCCACGATGACATCACAGACCCAAAACGCATCAAGAAGTGTGGATGCAAGAAAAGTAAGTTCAGATTTTTTATTTCATTATTTAAAGATGCTCTGCGGAAGTTTTTTGCTCGGAAATGTAGTTTTTCACGATAGTCCTGTTTCCACCAGCCCTACTCGACTCAAGTGTACTCTAAACTGCTTTACTCTACTACCAAATATTAAATCAGGAAAGGTACTCTACAAATAAAAGTTGATCGATTGATTGATAAAGCATAATGGAATCACAAACCAGGCAGAGTCGAGTAGAACCGAGTAGAGCCGAGTAGGGCTAGTGGAAATGGGGCCTACAGTGGGGAAATGTTGTTATTGAAGCGCACATACAGGACAGTAGTAAGAGCATAAAACATACAGTACTTGATATACAAATATACAAACTTTATATTTTCACTGAACTTTTATCTTGATGCAAATGTATGCTAACTTAAAGCTAACATATGTATTACAAATGTTTCTTTTTATCTCAATTCTTGTCTCAAAATCTGTGTAATTGCAATTGACGGACAATTTTCCACCACCACCACCTCGCATAAAGACAATAAAGCTTCTCTATTCTTCTCTAAATCTAAATCTATTCTGTAAGATCTAGTAATTTTTTTTATAGAAGTCATTGTATTTTTCCTCATATTATTCTAACTTTGTATCAACAATTTTGTCAGGTCTTTCAGTACGACTGTTGTTGCTATTTGGGGCTGTACAAAAACATTTATTTTCTGTCAATTAAAAATGTCAGACTATAGACTGAAAAATCTTGTGTTTTTTGTTTCGGAGAAGAACTGCTGGACACTGGGAGAGACGACTTCTTTGTTTCCAGGGTCAAATATGATGTATATACTGTATGTTTGTCTATATGTTGTTAGAATGAACGAATCGGTCTCAGTGGGTCTGCTAACTCATGTCTCTCCCTCCTGCTGCTTCTGGACTCTTGTGTTGTAAATAATAGTGGTTTATTGTGAGTAACATGGACATTTCCTGAACGCAGCCTGACCCTGAATGCTGCATGTACCTTTGTCCAAATGCATGTCGAAAAAAAAGTAAATAGAAAATGTTTGTGGAATGTTGTATGGAATCTGAGGATAGATCGTAAAAGCACTGTTACTAGCATGCTCAATTTTGAATGTAAAAAAGTAGGTTGTCATACTTCACTTTGCCACCAGATGTCAGCACAAACATGTAAAACACATAGAGATTCCTGTGTTAATCAGTCTGTCTATGGTGTGTCGAAGTATAGAGAGATAGAGACAATATGGATGTGCAAATTAAAGCTGGGGTACTTAACTTTCAAACCACAGCGATGCTATATCCTGTAAAAATCATCTACGCTAGTTCCTTGCTCGCCAGACAGTTATTTTCACTAGTTTTAATGTTTTTTTTGTCACATCTTATTATCAGCTTTTTCAAACAGGAAAGTAGCAGAGAGAGGACCGCCCTCACTCAGCCAATCAGCTCTCACCCCAGAGTCAAATAGTGACTCACAGGGTTCTTAACATGTTGTCTAATAAGATGCGGATGTATTCCAATGTGTTTTTACTGCAAACGGCAAATGAATGAATCTGAATCTGAAGCTGAAGACAGCACTAGTGTTAGTATTAGATAGCAATATGGCCTACGTGCAGGACTGTACAAGGACTCTGATTATTTTGACTATGATGTGACTGTCTCTGTGTGACACGTACGTCTTTCGATGTGTGACGTGACAATGACTACATAAACTGTGTACTGACTTTATTCTGTCTGAGAGAAGGAAACAAAGGAAACAACTGGAACTTGAGAGAAACTTAAAGAGCGACTAAACACCTGTGCCCAGCCTGACTCCGCCCACATGAAGATTTGAAAATTTTCTCTAAATAGGGCGTTGCCTGGAGGACCAAGGGACAAGAAGGGGGGCTTAGAGTTGGGCGTGGTCTGGGCTGTGATTGACAGCTCACTTGTCACACAAAAAAAACAGACAGTTGTCATTGCTGCTTAAAGCAATAGTTTACAGACCAGAAAGTCTCATTCCACCCTTGTTTACACACTAAGATAATTGTAAAGCTACACACCTGAACCTAATCACACTCAATAATCTCAGAATCACTCATGTAATTTAATTTTAATCCACTAAATGGCGCCAGAATACTCCAAACTGCAGGTGGGGCGTGTGTGAGAGTTGGATGGGCTTATATCACTGGCTCTGACAGACTGACGTCACACAAAACAACTGATGTCATAGAGAACTTCAGAGTCAATTGAGAGGCCAGGACCAAATTAAAATGTAGTACCACCAAAAAGGTTGAGAGGGCGCCACACAGACGTTTTTTGGCTCAAAAGTGATATTTTATCTAATTTGAACTAAAATGTCAAAAAAAATGACCAGGATATGTAGAGAGCACTACAATAAACATATTTATGGAGTTTATGATTTGAAAAAAGTTGATTTGGCGTTTAGTCGCTCTTTAAATAAACTTCCAGAGTTTGGCGCACCACGATCCGTCTCTGTCTGCTTCATCCCTGACAGATTTGGTGGAGGATGTGCGGCTCAGTGTGCGCCAAACTCTGGAAGTTTATTTAAGTTTCTCTCAAGTTCCAGTTGTTTCCATTGTTTCCTTCTCTCAGACAGAATGGAGTCAGTACACAGTTTATATAGTCATTGTCACGTCACACACGAAAATACGTGTCACACAGAGACAGTCACATCATAGTCCTTGTACAGTCCTGCACGTAGGCCATATTGCTATCTAATACTAACACTAGTTAAGATTAGTTCATAACACTTACTTATACAAGACTTTTTCTGACTCTAAGTAAATTAATATATTCAATTTATGAGACAAAAAGTAAGGTACCCCAGCTTTAATCTTGAAAATAATTATGTGTATGGCACAGTTCATACACAAGGCAACTCAAAGTGCTGAACAAAACAAGAAAATATACACAAGAAGGCATACAAATATTCATACATATTCACAGTACATCAAAAGTGAAAACACAATTGTATGCGCGGATTTGAACATTGTCACAGAGTAGAAGCCTCTCTCACATTTTCAGGAAGACTGTTCGGGATTTTAGCTGTATATATCTGAAACGCTGCCTCCCCATGTTTAGTCCCCACTCCCTCGACGACCCCCAAACCCTGAGGCCTCCATCTGTAACCTGTTATCTCTGGTTTTCCGTTACGTGTGTGTAGACAAGATGGCCGCCTCCCGCAGCGAGCGCCTGGCCTGTTGCTTTGGCTTTGGGTGCATGCGTCTTAGTGACCGTAGTGTTCCGGACGTCCCGCTCTCCGCTGTCTCTGTTAGCTCGGCCTGTAAGTGGTCCCTCCCCCTTCCCTCACCCCTCACCCCTCTCCCCTCACCCCTCTCCCTTCCCCTCTCTGTCCCGTCACCGTCCACCTGTGCCTTGGTCCTGTCTTTAGCTTGTGCCGTCAGCGTCGTGTCTATATATATATATTTATAAATGTGGCTTTATAAGTTTTGACTTTGCATGCTAGTGGTTTTTTCCATGTTCTATTCTATATGTAACACCTGTGCTTTGAATGTTGGTTCTAAAATCAGGTATGCTACTTGTTGTACTGCATGCTAGGCTAGGTAGCAGTAGTGTTATTGTTGCTAAAAAAGATAATACATCTATTTTATTTTTTATTGAATTAGTTTATTTTATTAGGGAAAAGCACACATCAAACATTACTGTATATGTTCCAGTATTAGCTACAGCGAGTTTGCAACTATAGGCAAGATGTAAAATGCTAGAAATATACAGTACAAATATTACGAGAAAATATTCATACATGATAGTCATTTTAGTTACATTACAATTACCGTCTCTATTTGACTTATTAAACAGAATTTTTACTATATTATGGTCTAAATGGGTCAAATACAGAAAAAAATGCTACAACCAGATTTTGTGGAAGTACAATTATTTATTCTTTGTCCCTTTTAGCTCATGTGAAGTTTGCTTTGGGTTGTATTTTTATTTTGTAATGCCAGCTACATGTGCGCTTTAATTCAAATGTATTTTATTTCTCTCTCCCTTCCTGTACGTAGTTATACCTTAAAAATATGAAAAATTTAAAAACAGGTCATTTAAACATATACAAACAAACACATTAGTATATTTCAGATTATCGATATCTGCCCAGCTCTCTTAATTTACACTTTTTTCTCAAGTTTAGGAATTTTGATTTTTATTTATTCTAACTGAATTGTATCTGATTCATGTTTTTTAAATTTGCTTTTGAATTTCATTATATTTTTCATTTGTTTATGTATTATAATTTATGTTTTGATTATTTTGTTTATTTATGTTTTTGTTTGGGTATTTTCTATTCCTTCACAGTCGATTTGAACATAAGCTAGCTGGAGCAAACTTCCTTATATGGGCATATGTTCCGATGGCGTTAGCATTGCGCCGTAGTGCAGGGAGACGTTTTGCTAAGGCGGTTGTTATGACAAGCTGTAATATCCCCCACATCTGATTGGTCAACCCTCATGTTAAAGGGCCAAACTGAACACACATAACGCAACATACTTCTCCTTTAAGTTTTGAGTCAAGCAAAATATCGCCCAAAATCTACAATGGCGTAGAATAAGCCGTGCTTTGTTAGTTACAGCTTTATCTATGGTCTAACTTTCTGGCTTTTCTTTCTTCTGTCCATGTTGTGTGCTTCAAAGTGCCTTAACTCTCTGTCACACACACACAAAAAACATAAATTCTAATCATAACAATGCATTGATCGCGTATTCTAACCTCCCATGTGTTTCTCAATCTCCCCTCAGCTAAAAATACCTATAACGGATATATCAAATCAAGTAAGTGTGCATTTCATTCATGGATTTGACCCAGTTTCCCTTTTCTGTGTGGTTTGTCATTTCTCATCTGTCTCTGTGTGTGTGTGTGCGTGCGTGTGTGTGCGTGTGCGTAAGTGACCAGCAGATGGCGCCATTGTACAGGCATTTGTAATAACTGTCTACTTCTTTAGACTCATTCAAATACAGTAGAATATCAACCATTGCAGACTACATACGGTGCTTCCTATGATAACCTCTAGTTACTACTGATTTTATGACATTTTGATATTAATTTACAATATAATTGTATGTGTATAAATATGTTCATGGTGACATCACAGATTTCCAAAGATCCTATAGTTTAATATTGTCCTGGTTAATATGGTAAGTGTCAAAAGTCAGATTTGAGTCATTACTTTAGAGCAAATTTCTCTGTAATCTCTGGGACAATGGAACATGGAAGAAAAACTGTTGCGAAGTCCTGCAACTTAGTCCGTAATATCATCATTATTTTATCATAAAGTTGTCCAGAAGTTATGGCAAGATCCAAAAACATATGCATAATATAATTGGCCAGTAGACTCTGGTCTCTCTCTAGTCTCTCTCTGGTCTCTCTCTGGTCTCTCTCTGGTCTCTCTCTCTGGTCTCTCTCTCTGGTCTCTCTCTCTGGTCTCTCTCTCTGGTCTCTCTCTCTGGTCTCTCTCCATGATCTCTCTGGTCTCTCTCTCTGGTCTCTCTCTCTGGTCTCTCTCTCTGGTCTCTCTCTATGATCTCTCTGGTCTCTCTCTCTGGTCTTTATCTGGTTTCTATCTGGTCTCTCTCTGGTGTCTCTTTCTGGTCTCTGGTCTCTGTCTCTGGTCTCTATCTGGTCTCTCTCTCTGGTGTCTCTTTCTAGTCTCTCTCTTTCAGGTCTCTCTGGCCTCTCTTTCTCTGGTCTCTCTCTCTCTGGTGTCTCTCTCTCTGGTCTCTCTCTCTGGTCTTTCTCTCTGGTCTCCCTCTCTCTGTTCTCGCTCTCTCTGGCCTCTCTTTCTCTGGTCTCTCTCTCTCTGGTGTCTCTCTCTCTGGTCTCTCTCTCTGGTCTTTCTCTCTGGTCTCCCTCTCTCTGTTCTCTCTCTCTCTGGCCTCTCTTTCTCTGGTCTCTCTCTCTCTCTGGTCTCTCTCTCTCTGGCCTTTCTCTGCTTCTGAATATAGACAATTGTGACCGGATTTTTTTTAGAATTTCAAATCCCAAAATGTCTGCCGTCTCTCCTCCGTTCACGATGGCTAATCCTTGCTGTCGTCTCCGTGTTCCTCTGGCATAACAATAGTCTCCCAACATCTGAAAGCGTACTAACTAATTCATTCCTATTATAAAGACGAGGCCAGTGTCAAACCCGGCTTTCCATCGGACGGCACTGGTTAAGTGGTGTTTAATAGCAATGAGCTCGATTCATTATTCAGTTATTAGCGATCTCGTGCCACATGGCATTAGCGCCGGTAATGACAATATGTTTTATTAAGAGTCTGGAATGTTGGGGCTCTTTGTGTCGCAGTGAATTAGAGATGGTTGGGAATGTCGAAGACGTTTAGAGCTGCAGGTTTAAGTCGTGTTGGAATGGGTCAATGCACAGCGATAAGTGTCATTGAAGGTATGCACACTTTAGACTGTGGTAGGGTTGCTAAGAGCCCGTAAATGTATGGCAAATTTTGATAAAGTGACCAGTAAATTTGCCTGGGGAAATTTGGAAATATTCTATAGTTGGGAATTATTTGTAAAGTAATTCAACTTTCCACATATATTTCCACAGAATAATTTTGTAGTTCCCTTAATATCATTAAAACTTACATGGAGGCACACATTTGAGCCTGTGGACTAAAAAGTCTTGTGCTTTGGACTCAAAAGTGTCTCCAGTCTTCTAGAAATGTCCTGTACGTGTGATGAAAGACCTGTAGAGGCCAGTAGAGGGCGTGGTCTCGATAGTTACAGTGAGCAGTGTGCTTTATGCATGGGAATGAGGATTGACCATGGATATTTTGAAAGTGTATTTGAATGGCGTCTGTTTGTTTTAGTCCGGACTATGCTTAAAATATACTGTCCTCAGCTATATTTAAGTTCCCTATAAATAACAAACCTACACTTTTAAAAATTCCAAGTGAATTCCCATTTATTCCCATACATTCCCATGTAAAATTTTAACCTTTGAATATTACTGGAATTGTGCAACTCAACTAGATTGAAGTAGTAGTGTTTTATTATGAGCCAAGTGATTGAGTACTGCTCTGTATGCTAGTATTTCTCTGCTAACACCAATGAAAACTCAGTGTTATTATTGAAAAGGTACATGCTTAATGCTAGGACTCCCAGAATTCTGAGACTACGAGAACTCCCAGGGAATTTTGAGTTATACCTTGTTGTGACGCTCAGAACCTCTGGAATCCAGGTGTTTATTTTATTTGTATAGACCACATGTGGGTTAAACGTTTACTCCAGACTCTCAGTGTGACGTTAAAGTTTGATGTCCACTAGGGGGTGCTGTCCACTGCTATAGACCACCAAATATTGCATGAAGCCAATGACAACAAACACATCTTTGAACTGTATAAATCATGTTTCTTAAAAATGACTCCCTCCTCCAGCCCCTGAGCCTCCCTTGCTCCAGTCCAATCACCTGGACTCCGCCCTGGACACCAGTAGGGGGCAGCAGAGCGTGGTCCCACTGGTGAACAACCGCAAGGGGAGCCTGCTGCCTCCTCCGAGAAAACGCCACATGGTCCAAACGGAGGACGGCAAGAGGTTGCAGCGAGCCCAGAGTCTGCCAGTCAAATACAGATACCACCCCAGTAACAGGCAGTGTAAGGACCAGGACAGACCTGGGACCAAGAACTAAATATATGTAGATCTGCACGAGTTTGGTTGCGTTTCTAACTGTTTTTCCTGATTAACTTTGATGTGATTTACCATTATGTTTTAAGAGTAAGAGTTAATATATCAAACAAAACTTTCTGGTCTCTCTCTCTAGTCTTTCTCTAGTCTCTTTGGTCTCTCTCGCGTCTCTCTCTGGTCTATCTCTGGTCTCTCTCTGGTCTCTCTCTGTCTCTCTCTGGTCTCTCTCTGGTCTTTCTCTGGTGTCTCTCTGGTCTCTCTCTGGTGTCTCTGGTGTCTCTCTGGTGTCTCTCTAGTCTCTCTCTAGTCTCTTTGGTCTCTCTCTAGTCTCTCTCTGGTCTCTTTCTGGTCTCTCTTTGGTCTCTCTCTGGTCTCTCTCTCTGGTTTCTTTGGTCTCTCTCTAGTCTCTCTCTGGTCTCTCTCTTTAGTCTCTTTGGTCTCTCTCATCTCTCTCTCTGGTCTTTCTCTCTGGTGTCTCTTTCTAGTCTCTCTCTTTCAGGTCTCTGGTCTCTCTGTCTCTGGTTTCTCTCTGGCCTCTCTTTCTCTGGGCTCTCTCTCTCTGGTGTCTTGGTCTCTCTCTCTGGTCTTTCTCTCTGGCCTCTCTTTCTCTGGGCTCTCTCTCTCTGGTGTCTTGGTCTCTCTCTCTGGTCTTTCTCTCTGGCTCTCTGGTCTCTGTCTGGTCCCTCTGGTCTCTCTTTAGTCTCTCTCTGGTCTCTCTGTAGTCTCTCTGGTCTCTCTGTAGTCTCTCTGGTCTCTCTGTAGTCTCTCTGGTCTCTCTGTAGTCTCTCTGGTCTCTCTGGTCGCTCTCTATAGTCTCTCTCTGGTCCCTCTGGTCTCTCTAGTCTCTCTCATGTCTCTTTAGTCTCTCTCTGGTCTCTTTCATCTCTCTGGTCTTTGTGAATTTACAAAAACAATACACAGTAACAACATAAACACCAGGGTTGAACATAAAAAATGAGTGTGATACAAACGGTTTTTGAGCTCGAAAATGTTACTTTTCATTGAGCTAGCGGGTTAGCATCGTCCATCTGTGTAACTAGTCCACAGCACTAAACTACAGTGTGTGTGTGCGTGTGTGTGAAGGTGGTTTGTCGCCTTGTGTGTGTTGTGTGGTTTCCTTTCACTTCCTCTATTTTCTAAACGACATAAACTCACTTTAACGTTGCTGTGTGCAGTTGAGGAGGACCAGCACTCGGCTCTGTCTCCAAAGAAAAAGCAACGCAACGGAAACATGAAGAATTCTCCAAACTCCTCTCCCAAAATCATGCGGTGAGCTATAATGGGAGGGACTAATTTTTCTCAATCTAATGTTTACTAGATTGAGAAAAAAGAGAGATTTTAATAAATATGTTTGATTAAATTAGATCAAATTTTGTTGTATTAGTAATAATTATGATCATTTCAAACTTGTATCTCATGCAAAATCAGTTTGAAGATGGATTAGACAAAGAAGACGCTCCAACTCCTCTCACTCAATCACACAAATAAACACACACCCACACACACACACACACACACAAACTACACTCACAAATTACACCCACACACAAACTACACCCACTTAATACACAAACACACATACAAAATACACACACAAACAAAATACACATATGCACACACACACACACACACACACAAAATGCACAAACACACAAACTACACATACATAAAATATACAGTACACACACACAAACAAAATACACACACACACACACAAAATACACACCCCTTGGACATTAATGCAAAAAATATATTATAGGGATCATGTGTTATTACTGCATTTCCTGATTGTTCTAACGGTTTGATTCTCTGATCTGTTGTTGGCGAATCGACAATTGTGTAATGTCCACTGAGACAAATACATTGAATTGAAAGTTTCGTACCCTAGCTTTAATACTGGCTTCAGAAATAGGTATCGGCATGTGAAAGCATAGCATCTGTATATACTGTATATCTATGTACAGTATATATCTTTAATGTATGCTTTTGTTTGCTAATAAGAAGAAACAAATAGAAACCTTACTGCCCCATGTCTGTACCCTTGTTTATTTTTGACAACTTTGACTTGACATATGCCCAAAATCCATTACATAATTGACCCAAAACCAGAGAAACGCTAAAACCCTGTCCCATGATATCTCCCGTCAGGATGAGTGCTTATGACGTGGACATATGAGAGTGTTCTGTCCGCAGTCTGACAGTGGCAGAGCTAGAGTGGCTCTCAAACAGCTCTGGCAGAAACGACGGAGCGCCTCAGGCCGTGTATAAGCTATGCTATGTACTCTCTCTCTGGTCTCTCTCTCTAGTCTCTATCCAGTCTCTCTCTCTGGTCTCTCTGGTCTCTCTCTCTGGTCTATCTCTATTCTCTCTCCAGTCTCTCTCTCTAGTCTCTCTCTCTGGTCTCTCTCCAGTCGCTCTCTCTAGTCTCTCTCCAGTCTCTCTCTGGTCTCTCTCCAGTCTTTCTCTCTAGTCTCTCCAGTCTCTCTCTCTAGTCTCTCTCTGGTCTCTCCCTCCAGTCTCTCTCTGGTCTCTCCCTCCAGTCTTTCTGGTCTCTCTCCAGTCTCTCTCTCTAGTCTCTCCAGTCTCTCTCTCTAGCCTCTCTCTAGTCTCTCTCTCTGGTCTCTCTCTGGTCTCTCTCTGGTCTCTCTCTGGTCTCTCTCTGGTCTCTCTCTGGTCTCTCTCCAGTCGCTCTCTAGTCTCTCTCCAGTCTCTCTCTCTAGTCTCTCTCCAGTCTCTCTCTCTAGTCTCTCTCTCTGGTCTCTCCCTCCAGTCTCTCTGGTCTCTCTCCAGTCTCTCTCTCTAGTCTCTCCAGTCTCTCTCTCTAGTCTCTCTCTCCAGTCTCTCTCTGGTCTCTCTCCAGTCTCTCTCTCTAGTCTCTCCAGTCTCTCTCTCTAGTCTCTCCAGTCTCTCTCTCTAGCCTCTCTCTAGTCTCTCTCTGGTCTCTCTCTGGTCTCTCTCTGGTCTCTCTCCAGTCGCTCTCTAGTCTCTCTCCAGTCTCTCTCTCTAGTCTCTCCAGTCTCTCTCTCTGGTCTCTCTCTCCAGTCTCTCTCTCTCTAGTCTCTCCAGTCTCTCTCTCTAGTCTCTCTCTCCAGTCTCTCTCTGGTCTCTCTCCAGTCTCTCTCTCTAGTCTCTCCAGTCTCTCTCTCTAGCCTCTCTCTAGTCTATCTCTGGTCTCTCTCTGGTCTCTCTCTGGTCTCTCTCCAGTCGCTCTCTAGTCTCTCTCCAGTCTCTCTCTCTAGTCTCTCTCCAATCTCTCTCTCTAGTCTCTCCAGTCTCTCTCTCTAGTCTCTCTCTCTGGTCTCTCCCTCCAGTCTCTCTGGTCTCTCTCTTCAGTCTCTCTCTTCTCTCTGAACACACCGCCTCAGGCCTCTGCCCGTAGCTCCGCCTCCTCCTGGCGTCTCTCCCGCCGCTGCTCCACAAAGCCATTCTAAACAGTACCTGGCTTTTATCTTGTCGTCCAACATTAGCCTTAGCTCGCGGTGAGTCTGAGGAGGCAGCGTTGCGGGGTTGTTACGGTCTGAGAGGTCGCCGATGGCCGCTAAGTGCCGTCGTGTGGAGTGGTGCGAGCTGACAGCTGTCGGGAAGAGGCCGCGGTCGCTGTTTATCTAATATGACAACGCTATGACAACGCAGGCACATGTTGACAAGATAAGAGGTTAATTCCCTAAATGGTTTTTGTATTTGAGAGAGATACAAACCGTGTGATAGAGTTGAAGGCGATGGTTTGATTTGATGTGTAACGTTGTGTACACGTTGATGTAGATTGGAACGAGACTCATGTTAAAGACGACACATTGTGCTTTGGTTTAAAGTAAATATATAAATATTCCCACTGTGCAAATATCCAGGTTTTGTGCCAAAAAACGTCAGGTCTATATCCATATTTTACTACTACTGCTCTTACTACTACTACTACTACTACTACTGCTACTGCTATTTCTATCACTACTACTACTATTACTACTACTAATATTGTCACACCAAATGTCTATGCAATTGCCATTTTGAAAAGCATTGAATGTCTTGTTTTACCTATAATATCCATCCATCCATTTTCTTCCGCTTTATCCATTGCCGGGTCGAGCAGAGACACCCAGACTCCCTTCTACACTGGAGTGAGAGACAAATTCCAACAATTGTAAAGTGGTTTGTGACTCTGTCTGTTAAACGCACTAAGTAAATAAACATTACTTACTTACTTAGAACACTTTAGTACCAGGTGGGAAGAACCAGGGCCGAGACAGAGTAAAATAGCACCTGGTACCGCTTAAACAGGGCCAGTGGAAACGCTCCCAATTGGGGCTGGACCAAATGGGGCCGGTGGAAACAGGGCTTAAATTGCAGCTATGTTTGGTTGCAGTCACCTCCAACAAAAGTCTTAAAAGGCGAGTTGTTTTGTAACTCATGTAAACAACACACTCATATATTTCTATTTTTCTCATCGCATTTTGATTTTCTTAGCTTAGCCGCTCTGTCTTACGGATACTAAACACCGAACAACCTTCTTTGATCCACTTTCAATCCCGTGAGCGCGTTTTTATCTCTTCAAAGCCGCGCGAGAGTGGAGGCCCCGTAGGTCGTTGCTGGTCTCAAACACCATATATCGCCGTTAGCAAAGCGCCACCCCTTTGAGTCCATGTTTCTTCCATTGACATGCTAATGCTACTACCACACGGCACAGGTGGAGAGGGGGTAGCCTGGGGGTACCTCCGGCAGAACAAGGCCAGGGGAGGACATCTGAGTGTAGAGAGAGTATGAGCCGTGCTTAAGAGAACCCACCTCCAGGCAACGCTAAATAAATAACGATGGACAGATTGGCTGCGGTTTTGGAGAGAGAGCCTCTGTTAGATTCTGTGTCGAGATCGAGGCGTATGAGGCGACTGGTCTAGATGTTTGCTACAGCAGCGCAGAGATGTGGACCACTCAAATCTACACGAAGATCCACAATTTCAACATTTATCCGACCTCGCTGCCATATTTGTAGAACAGAAGTGCAGTCATCAAAATCATAGTTTCTTTATTCAGACTCCAGATCCAAACTAGACAGAGAAACACAAACAGAAACAAAAGACAAGACTCAGATAAATAAGGCAAGATTATTAAAGCTAATTTAGTGTTTCCATAAAGGAGGTGGAAGAAGTATTTAGGGATTAGACATGATTGGACAAGATTCTATGTAACAATTAAAAATAATGGAGATACAATCCCTCACTTGTTTGCAGCTAAACAGAACTGTTTTAACCTGGATTTTAACATTGTCAGAGAAGAAGCCGGTCTTACATTTTCAGGAAGACTGTTTCAGATTATAGCTGTATTGTAGGCGGCATGGTGGCTGAGTGGATAGCTCTCCCGCTTCTCAGCAAGAAGGTTCTCGGTTCGAATCCTGGTCGGTACAGGGCCTTTCTGAGTGGAGTTTTTATGTTCTCCCCGTGCCTGCGTAGGTTTCCTCCGGGTACTCCGGTCTCCCGTACCACTAAAAACATGCACACTAGGTTAAATCCTCCAGCTCTCCTAGTCCTGACCAAGCCGAGCATCAACATCTGGAGATGGGTTCCTGGCCGCTGTTACTACGGCGACCACTGCTCCTGACGTAGGCCTTAGCGGCATCAGGATGGGTCAAATACTGAGGATGAATTGCCCTACGGGGATCAATAAAGTGCCCCTTTACCAGCCGGTCCCTCTGCTCCTCAGAGTCAGAGTTGGTTCATGTTCATGACTAACATGTCACAGATGTACTGGAGAGACTTGTAACAAACAGAGCTAAAGTCTGTTCTCTGAGCAACAGGACGCAGAGACCTGAGAACAGGACTAATGTGATCTTATTTCCTGGTTCTAGTCAAGACTCCAGTTGCAGCCAAATAAGTGTAATACTCCATTGGCTTCATAATGTGTTTGTGTTTACACTAACATGATCATATATGTTATATGATGACAGGTCCATGACAGCTCATACATTAGCCCTGTTTATATGAAGCCGTCATGTGACATCACAGCAGCTCAGGTCACTCTCTGTGGTGACAGTTAGCATTAGCCGTCCTGACAGAGAGGGGCCCCACGGCGTCAGGAAAGTGACTTCTGATTAAATATTTACATTAGCAATAACAGTACTAAACCCTCACCTTCTAATATCTGTTATCCTCAGATCTGCTGCCTCCATTCTTAGCAAAACGTCTCCAGTTCCTGTAAATTTTAGGGCTGCCTTTTGTACACTACCGGGGCGGCACGGTGGCTGAGTGGATAGCACTCTCGCCTCTCAGCAAGAAGGTCCTGGGTTCGAATCCCGGTCGGACCAGGGCCTTTCTGAGTGGAGTTTGCATATTCTCCCCGTGTCTGTGTAGGTTTCCTCCGGGTACTCCGGTTTCCCCTACCACTAAAAATATGTCCAATAGTTCTGGCATGCGCTTCCTGTACTGGCGACCCCGCTCCCATCTCTGTGTGGAGTGAGAGACAAATGCCCAAAATTAACAATTGTAAACCGCTTTGAGACTCTGATCTGCAGTGAAAAGGCGGTATATAAATAAACTTACTTACTTACTCACTACACTTTTGAGATGCCCTAATAGTGGTCTCTTTCTGGTCTCTCTCTGGTCTCTCTCTGGTCTTTCTCTCTGGTCTCTCTGGTCTCTCTCATGTCAAAACTAGATTACACAATGTGCTATATTGAGTACAGATTTGAATGATTTGTTGATACTCAAATTTTAAGATCGTCAGCTGGCTTGTGTCATCCCCACTGCCTGCATTGGTGTGAAGTGAAAAGATAAAAACTCCCTTAGAATGTCTCTTTACCTGGATATGTTTATTGGATGTTCCTTAGACAGATACTGTAGATAGATAAACAGAGAGAAAGACAGATGGACCTTTATTGACATGAACAACATTACAGGCTGTTAAGAGCATATTACAGTCTCTCCTTCTCCTCCTCTCTGGCCTCCCTCCTCCTCTCTTCCTCCTCCCCTCTGCCCTCTCTCCATCAGGGCCCTTCCTGGTCTGGCCTTGGGGCATGGGGCCTGGAGGCAGGGCTTCTGCAGCTCGCCTTGGGGGGATGCCGAACACCCGCGTGCATACTTATCACTTTACTTAGCACTTTACTTAGCACTTCACTTAAGGCGCATTCTTCCAGAGCTGGTGATTGTTGCGAGCGTGGCGCAGACAGCAGCGCACGGAGGGTTTAAAAGGTTTTTCGACAGCCACAGAAGGCGGCTGTCGGACTCAGAGCGGCGCAGAGGTGAATGTGACAGAAGCGCTTTGGTTCAAGTGCGGAGAGGGACGCGCTGGCGGCTCTGTCACCAGTATTTATGTATCTAGTCTGTGCTCTGCAATCAGGACCAGGAGGAAGGAGGTAAGGAACTCATGTGAAGTGTGAAGAAATGCCATCAATGAGAAAGGACAAAGTTTAAATCGATTCAAATCACCCCAAATCACTACATCAGACTCTCAAAACAACAATCTCAAACCCTCTGTCTAAAAATTCCAGATTTGTCAGGACATATCAGCCAAAATTACAATTATTATCCAATATTCTAGTTGTATCAGCAGGAATGTGCCAGAATGCCAGATCTGTTTGGATGAACGAGCCAACATTTTGTAAGGAAGAATGTGCCAAAATTCCGGGTGTGGCAGGACTTGTAGCAAAATTGTCCATGAGCTCTCTCCTATTGGGCTTCTCTGAGCTAAAGGGTTAGCATTGTCCATCTGTATAAAGTCAATGTAATAAACTAATTTACGTATTTTACACTTCTTATTACGCTAAAGTCATAGATTTTTCTCTTAATTCTTCCTTCTTCATTATGCTAAAGTTGGAGATTTTTTATTTGCTTCCTAATCACAGTAAAGCTAAAACTAGAGCTTTATACATGCTTCTTTGTTATGCTATAGTTAGTTTTTATTATATTTTTTATCCTACTGTTTTGTAACCGGTGATGCAACACTGACTTTCCTTCACTGTGAGATGAATAAAGAATCTCTGTCTCCACTTATGAATGACTACTTTTCAATAGGTATCTTAGCCTGTGGTGAGAAGGTCTAGTCTGGTCTGGTCTCGTCCTGGTCTCGCCATAGCAACCTGTATCTCTCGCCTCCTGCGGTCAGTCCTAGATCTTTGTCGTCTTGTCTTTCTTCAAACATTCATGCGTTTCACCTCTAAAGCAAATCAGATCCGGCAAACTGCTGAAATATTAATGCCGGTGAGTGAGTGGAGCTGTAGCTTTTACCGCGACGCCGCTCGCCGAAGACAGACAGAGTGTTTTCCCTCTTTTGTGCCGATCAAAATGTCCTCAGCTCGACAGAAGAGGCGGCGACAGGACGCTGAGTGATGACAAATTTGGTCTGACAGAAACAGAAGCAGAAGCAAGAGGAGAAGCTAGAGCAGAGAGAACAGGCAGAGAAACCAGGGGCACTTTCAAACGGAGGACTGAGGCTGAATGCAACGACAAAAAGTGGAATTAGAGATAAAACTAACCAGTGTAATGTGTTTTTGTACAGCTCTAAATCATAACAGCAGTCGTCTCGCAGGACTTTACTAAACTGTTGATTTGCCAACATCAGAATCAAACCGTTTTACCTCTGAAAATAGCCCTGTTCAAACCCCAGAACCAGAGATTGATAGAGAGAGAGAGATTTCAGTTCAATTCCTCAGTCCTGAATCACAACAGTAGTTATCCTCGGACGACTTTACAAAGCGCAAACACAATGGTATGTTTGTTGTTGCTTATCTGTGTGTTTTCTTGTGTTTTTTTTAGACACGACTCTCTGATGATTCCCATGAACGAGCCGATCGAGAGCATGGACGAGAACGTGAAGAAGTACGACTCGACCGGGATGTTCCACTGGTGTCCGTCCAAAGACATCGAGAGAGTTCTCCTGGTGAGGCTCCTGTGTGAACCCACTTCATTACCTACTGCCTGTACAATAAGTGTGTTTGTTACATGTAGCGTCTACAGGGTGCTCACTTGGAAGCTTTGCAACTTTGCCAGGTTACAAAGCAAAGCTTTCTAACCTGGCAAGAGCCAGATTGATGATTGTGTAGAACTCTAATACTTTCTCCACAATATCAATCTGGGACTTCTGCAGGAGAATCCTTTCCGGGATAGGAGGGATAAGCAGCAGAATACTTCAAGCTGATTTGGCGAAGTGACGCTGTGTGCCCGCCTACCAAGGTTGCCGTCCAGAAATGCACAAAGCGCCTCTCGCCCTTCATCTTTCAAAAAAGAAATTGGAGATTCTGCTAAAACTGACTTGATAGCCTCAGCTATGTGTCCGTCCTCCTGTGTAGCCATGTTTGTTTTGCTTCGGCCCGGCACTTCTTGCTTTCATCAAACCCGGATATCCCGCCCATAAACCCCCAGACTGGCGTGTGATTGGCTTGAACACCTAGCTGTTCTACTCAAAAAGGGTTGGCGGGAGCCGGGCAAGATGTATTCTCGAGTGTTTGTGAACTCACAAATACCGCGAGAATTCAGCTTGCAGGCAAGGTTACTTTGCAACCACCTCCCTACATTTGTCATTTCACCTGAGTGTGTCTGCGGAGTCTGTGGGCCACAACTCATGGACTTTTAAAGGTGCAGTAAGCGATGTTGTTTGCTTAGCCCCCCCCCCCCCCCCCCCCCCACCTCTCCACCAAACCAAACATCCAGCATTTTCTTTTCTTAGTCACAACAGGAAGAGTGGTAGCCTGACTCTCGCCAGACCCATGTAGTTCGCTGCACTTCACACATGAGTCTGGCACTGAGCCATAGTGGTTGGATTTCAGAAGGCAGGGCCTTGTAAAAAAAATCCTTGTATGTGATTGGATAGACCACTTGTCCGTTATCTTGAATGAAGTCTGCTATCAAACACTCACATCGAAGCACACGGCTCCCATAGGTTGCCAAATCCCAGCAAGATTTTCCAACCCAAAATCCGCGAGAATACCCAAAAAAAAAAACACTCAGAATGATTTTTTGGCTAAAAACGTAATGTAATCAACTTGGGCTATCATGATTCTGTTTATTGTCTTTCTGTTTATTTAAAACCTACAAGTCTCTTGGAAAAAAATATGTGGGAACCACCAAACCTGGCAACCCTGCTGCATAGTGTGTAAACAGGAACACGCTGAGTGGATAGCACTCTCGCCTCTCAGCAAGAAGGTCCTGGGTTCGAATCCCGGTTGGACCAGGGCCTTTCTGAGTAGAGTTTGCATGTTCTCCCAGTGTCTGCGTAGGTTTCCTCCGGGTGCTCCGGTTTCCCCTATCACTAAAAATATGTACAATAGGTCTGGCATGCGCTTCCTGTACTGGCACCCCCACTCCCAAAAAATAACAATTGTAAACCGCTTTGAGACTCCGATGTGCAGTGAAAAGGCGGTATATAAATAAAGATTACTTACTTACTTACTTACTTACATAGAACCATCAACATCTCGCCTCAAATTGCATTAAAAGTGACATCCGTGTCTTATTTTGATCGTATTTACTCTTTTAAAAAGATTCGCGTACTTTACGTACGCCATCTTGGATTCTTCTCGTTGCTGCATGAGAGAAGCTTGAGAAGGCAGTGCAAACCCCACGTAACACCGGCAATCCTGATTGGTCGATTAAAAAATAATCTGGGGAAGGCGTTCGCTATGGCGTCGATACCAGACCCATGTGGTTCAGCCAAACGCCTCTGGTGGAGAAAGGCGGAACTACAGGGGTCTGGCAGAGCCAGGCTAGAAGAGTGGGTGGCAAACGTGGAATTGGCCTTTTCTGTTAAGCCATTTTAGGTTTTTAAAAATACGATTACTCCGGTGCGGGACTCACGAGAGGAAGAGGGTGAAGCGGGGTAAACACATCCCATTGGTTCGTTGGGGATGAACAAATCCCATTGGTTTATTTTTATCGGTCCACTCCAAAATATTTTCTATTAATTTTCTGAGACTAGAGGCATCTGGTCAATTCCATTACCATTTGAAAACACATGATAACTTGACTACTTTTAGGGTTTAAAGACGTTTTCCCACAATGTTTAAAAAAAATGTGTCTGGAAAAAATCACTGACTGCATCTTTAAATTCGTTTGTAGCCCGCCAAATGTAATGTATTGTATATACAGAAAAACGTTAAATATATGAAGTCATGACCCCTATGAGATTGTACCGTGGATGATTGATATTGGGGCAAGCAGGAGTGTTAAGGTGTGCCCCAAGGCAGTTCTGGCTTGGTTTTACAGATGGTCCCGTTGACTGCAGAAGCGAGAGGGAGAGTTCAGGAAAAGGAAACTTGTTGTGTATATTTTTGTTGTAACCATGATTTTTGCCTGAAGACTTTTCACCGTGCTCTGTAAATACATATTTGTACATTTTCCCACTTATTTTCTACCGAGAACTCTTATTTAAAAACCCTAAAAACCTCTATTCCGACTAAGCCATGGAGTTTGTGTCAAAGAACCCATCACATTTTGCTTCTCTGATCTGCTGTTGGCAAATTCAACAACTTTGTGAAGTCCTCCAAGATTTAGGGCAATACAAAAATATATGGAATTGACTTTTGTCCAAAACGTCTATAGGAGAAACAGGCACAATCTTTAGTGACGCTTTAGTGACATACACCGCATACACTAAGACACGTCCATTTGAATATATATGATCTCTATTTGTCAGAACTGCGTCGGTAAAGACTCATGCATTCTATATCAGGCGGCTCCGACGGCGGCTGCGAGGCTCTACTCCACATGCCACTTTTCAAATCACGTCACGTCACTCAAACCATATTCTCGGGAACGAGCAAAGAGCCCTGTGTCGTCAAGTGTCTGTCTCCGTCTGCCAGAATCCTGACATCTCTGCATCTCGCCGCCAAACCTCGACAAATAGAACAGTCGTATTGAAATCGCAGGAGACAGAGGGAAGTGGGGGCGGGACGTCAATGCAAAGTGACGGAATGTGATGTGATGTGTGCAAAAGGGGGAAGTTAGGCAGGTTTATTTGTGATATAAGTGATTAACAAGATAAGACAGAGACATATAAGGAAAGAGTCACAGTTCATACAAAAGAGCAAAGATACAATTTTTCAGTTGTCTGCATGGATAAACAACTGTTTTTAACCTGGATTTAAACATTGTCTGGGTCTAACTTACGTTTTCGGAAAGATTTTAAGTTTTTTATTGGTTATATGTGATGTTATACTACAGACATACATATTTACAGAAATAGTCATCATCAATTCTTCTGGAGATTTTTGAGACAGAGAGAAAGAGAGACCAGAGAGAGACCAGAGAGAGACCAGAGAGAGACCAGAGAGAGAGACCAGAGAGAGACCAGAGAGAGACCAGAGAGAGACCAGAGAGAGACCAGAGAGAGACCAGAGAGAGACCAGAGAGAGAGACCAGAGAGAGAGACCAGAGAGAGACCAGAGAGAGACCAGAGAGAGACCAGAGAGAGACCAGAGAGAGACCAGAGAGAGAGACCAGAGAGAGACTAGAGAGAGACCAGAGAGAGACCAGAGAGAGACCAGAGAGAGACCAGAGAGAGACCAGAGAGAGACCAGAGAGAGACCAGAGAGAGACCAGAGAGAGACCAGAGAGAGACTAGAGAGAGACCAGAGAGGGAAGTCTTTCCTCAGAGTCCCAGCAGGAGGCCAGTCCCTGTGCTCCTCAGAGTCCCAGTTGGTTCATATGGGACTAACATGTCATATAGAGAGACTTGTACACAGCTGGTTTAAAGTCTATTCCACTCTTTGTCTGTCTGTACAGTGTCTGGACAGAACAAAAATCCATCTTTGTCCATGCAGTACATAAGTTTAGTTTAGTTTATTTCTAAAGACAGAGACAGTGTACATTCAACTTTAACCTCAAAGGGAAAGATGCATTGTACCAGGTTATAGCTCAAGAGATCATTTCCACCCGTAGTCCCTGTTGCATCCACGTATGTATTGTGCTATATAAATCCCTTTGTTTCCTTCCTTCTTTCTCCCTGTCCAGACCCGTAGCGAGGCGGCCATGACGGTGCTGAGCGGACACGTGGTGGTGTGTATCTTCGGAGACGCCAAATCGGCTCTGATCGGAGTCAGGAACTTTGTGATGCCGCTGAGAGCCAGTAACTTCCACTACCACGAGCTGAAGCACATCGTGTTCGTGGGATCTCTGGAATATCTCAAGAGGGAGTGGGAGACGCTACACAACTTCCCCAAAGTCTCCATTCTGCCTGTGAGTCACAGGTCCAGACACAGAGGTCCATACACAGAGGTCCAGACACAGAGGTCCAGACACAGAGGTCCAGACACAGAGGTCCAGACACAGAGGTCCAGACACAGAGGTCCAGACTCAGAGGTCCAGACACAGAGGTCCAGACACAGAGGTCCAGACACAGAGGTCCAGACACAGAGGTCCAGACTCAGAGGTCCAGACTCAGAGGTCCAGACTCAGAGGTCCAGACTCAGAGGTCCAGACACAGAGGTCCAGACACAGAGGTCCAGACACAGAGGTCCAGACACAGAGGTCCAGACACAGAGGTCCAGACACAGAGGTCAAGACACAGAGGTCCAGACACAGAGGTCCAGACTCAGAGGTCCAGACTCAGAGGTCCAGACACAGAGGTCCAGACACAGAGGTCCAGACACAGAGGTCCAGACACAGAGGTCCCACAGTGGGGAAAATTACAGTTAAATGAATAAACATCTGTGCATTAGCTTTAAAAAACCTTGGCAGCTGCCCCACCGGTGACAGACCTCCTCCCATCTCAAAACTAACCAGGCCCTGCCCTGCTTAGGTTCAGAGGTCTGATAGTATCTGGCTTTTACAAACAGGTGGTCAAACAAAAACGTCTTCTTAAAAATCTTAAAAAGTCACCAAACCTATTTTGCATCATTGCCATCTTTCCGTCCTTTCCTGTTCTGTGATTGGTCCCCAAATCCATGTGAAAATGCCATCCCTAGTTTCCAGCCTGTCATTTATCTTGAATTCATTTGAGCGTTGACAGCTGTATGTGGGAGTCCCTGCTCTATACCTTACTGATTTTAGAAAACTGGCACATACAGTGTTACACCAGCTCACAGCCTGTCCTCCCTCCTACCCCTTCCTCCCTCCCTCCCCCCTCCTCCCGCAGGGCACTCCCCTGAGCCGAGCAGACCTCCGGGCCGTCAACATTAACCTGTGCGACATGTGCGTGATCCTGTCGGCCAATCAGAACAACATCGACGACGCCTCGCTGCAGGACAAAGAGTGCATCCTGGCGTCGCTCAACATCAAGTCCATGCTGTTCGACGACAGCATCGGCCTCCTGCAGGCTAACTCCCAAGGTACAGCACCACACAGAGGTCAAGCTAACTCCCAAGGTACAACACCACACTGAGATCAAGCTAACTCCCAAGGTACAGCACCACACAGAGATCAAGCTAACTCCCAAGGTACAACACCACACAGAGGTCAAGCTAACTGTATGAAAACAATAAGGTTTTTGAACAGTTTTAGAGCAAACTTATACTGTGTGGAAAATACAGACTTTTCTATATTAAATTGTCGCTTTCCAACCGTATCAAAATGGGACTACAGTATGTAATCAAATCAGTTCAACGTATATTTTTCAATACAATTTATTTTTATAAGTGATTTAAGTTTAAATCACAGTCTCGGAGCACTTCACAATTCTGTTCTCTGATGGGACAATCTGCTTGAAAATCTGAAACTTAAATATTATTTTCCGTTTTCTGAGTGTGGGGATTTTGAATGAAGAATTTTACTTTACTTTTAATTCACTTCTGTCTCTTGTCTCGGACTCTGAGGAGCACAGGGACTGGCCTCCTGCTGGTGCCCCGAGTCAGGACTAAACATGGGGTGGCAGCGTTTCAGTTAAATGCAGCTATAATGTAGAACAGTCTTCCTGAAAATGTGAGACAGGCTTCTCCTCTGACAATATTTATATACAGGTAAAAAAAACAGTTCTGTTTTGTTGTGCATTCCACTGAAGGATTGTGTCTTCTCTGCCCAAGTCTCAAATGAACCCCAGTTGATGTATTTATTTATTCATTCAGATACTTATTTATCCTGAGGTCCACCCACATACGATGAATTTGACACGATTACAGAATAAAAAGCGACTACCATACAAAATAATCACCTTCAACATTCTGTCGTGGCCATCAGTCATCCATGCCACTCTCCGTGTCCGCCGTACTGGTCCTCTCTCTTTTCCCAAACCTCTGACCTTCCCGCGGAGAGAAACAAGATGGCTGCCGCTCCGATTTCGCCGCGGACACGAGAGTGCATTCCTCTCGAGTCAGCGCGATCCGTCAAAACACGGCGTCTGCGTTATACATAAGGAACAGTTGATTGAATCCGTCGCAGCGGACGCCAACAACGTTCAGACTCGATCCAGCGTCACTTTGCCTCAATTTCAGGCTGTGTGTGTTTTGTGCTGGAGGTAAAAGGTTTTCAAGCAGCGGGAAAATGAGTAGTTGTCGTGACGCCGTGTGAAAGGGGGAGGTTCCGCAGGTCCTTCCTTCCTGCTGCTGTCAGACTGTAGAACGAACAAGTAGGGCTAACAAACACTGCCGACCTGTGAGAATGTGCAATATAGAACCATTTGCCACTGTCACGTTACTTATCTGTGCAATAATAAAGTAAAAATGTGGCTAAAAGGGAAATATAGCTACATAGATTGTAATACACTTGAAAGTTAGGTACCCCAGCTTTAATTTGAACAAATCCACAAAACTAAATACTTTTGCTTGTGTTTTTGACTTGTGCGTTGTTGTTTTGTTGACGTGCGTGCTCTCTGTGCGCCCCTCAGGCTTCACCCCCCCAGGGATGGACCGCTCCTCTCCAGAGAACAGCCCGGTCCATGGTTTAGTCCGACAGACATCAGTCTCGACCGGAGCCAACATCCCCATCATCACTGAGCTCGGTAAACGCTGCTATTCCACAGTTACCTGGTCATTCACAGCCTCTGCTCTGGTCTCTTGAACATCAGGTATCTGAAGTTCAGCTAGAAATATTGATATTGTAACTGGAAAAAGCGACAAAAAGGAGAAAAAAAATTCTATACCTATACTTGCTAGTTAGCCATTTCTTACAAAGTTAACTATCAATACTGACAGTTAATCGGAATACTTCAGAATCATTCCAGGGGCCACGAGAAACGGTCTTGTCCTTGTGTGTGATGCCATGGGGTCATTATAAACAGTCCTTTCTAGACAAGAACTATTGATATGAGAAGGAAACATGATGCTAACAGTATGGAAACAATAACAGAATTTTGAACAGTTTTATAGCAATAATATTGTGTGGAAAATACAGCGTTTTCAATATTATGTTATGTAACGCTTTAAGTGTTGGTTATTTGGACATTCACACTTAAAGGTGGCTCCCTAGGGTCTCTCTGGTCTCTCTCTAATTTCTCTCTAGTCTCTCTCTGGTCTCTCTCTAGTCTCTCTCTAGTCTCTCTCTGGTCTCTTTCTCTCTAGTCTACCTACAGAATCTTTCTAGTCTCTCTCTGGTATATCTCTGGTCTCTCTCTTGTCTCTCTCTGGTCTCTCTCTCTGGTCTCTCTTTGGTCTTTTTCTGGTCTCTCTGGTCTCTCTCTAGTCTCTCTCTCGGCCCCTCTGGTCTCTTTCTCTCTAGTCTATCTCCAGTATAGTTCTAGTTTCTCTATGGTCTCTCTCTGGTCTCTCTCTAGTCTCTCTTTAGTCTCTCTTTAGTCTCTCTCTAGTCTCTCTCTAGTCTCTCTCTTGTCTCTCTTGGGTTTCTCTTGGGTCTCTCTGCTCTAGTCTCTCTCTCTCTCTCTCTCTCTAGTCTCTCTGTAATCTCTCTCTGCTCTTGTCTCTCTCTCTGGTCTCTCTGCTCTAGTCTCTCTCTCTGGTCTCTCTCTGGTCTCTAGTCTCTCTCTAGTCTCGCGCTGGTCTCTCTTATAAACAAATTTTGTGTGGAAAATACATCCTTTTCTATATTAAAGCTCGGGTATCTCACTCTCCAAACACAACACCACGGAACTACAATATGTTTTACAATCAAAATAAGTTGTTTTAAAGCTGGGGAACCTAACTTTCAAACCTCAAAATAAAAGACAGCATGTGGTGGTCACTTCCACAAAAACTTCTTCTGTTGGCTCAAACAACTAATGTAATATTTATGAACCAAAATCATAAAAGTTACATACCCCAGCTTTAACACAACCACGTTTGAGATGTGGCCTGCATCAGAGACATTGTTGTGCCTTGTTTTTGACATGCAATACTTCTCTCCTCTTACACTTTTAGCCAAACAGGGCAAACAGCTCCCTGTGATTTCGTTCAGTCCGGATAAGAGTAGTGGGACCAGCATTCAAATGATTACGGAGTTGGGTAAGCCTCGTCGTGCGGCTAAACTTCTTTGCCAACGCTTTTGTCAGACCACGTCTTGCACTTCTGTTCCCATTAGCCGTCTCGTCCGCTTTCGAAATCTTGTGTCTTTTCTTTTTCCCATCTCTGATCTGCGAGCGAGCTCTGTGTGAACATGGATCTCCCTTGAAGCCGCCACTACTGTTGAATTTTGCATTTTTACATCTCGACCTCTCGCTCCCAGTGATAAAACTCTCTGGTCTCTTTTTTTCTTGTCTCTTTCTGGTCTTTCTCCCGTCTGTCTGGTCTTTCTCTCTTTGCTCTCTGGCCTGCCTGGTCTCTGATCTCTCTTTTTGGTCTCTCTCCCTGACCTGTCTGTGGTCTTTCTCTTGTCTCTCTCTGGTCTCACTCTGGTCCCTCTCTGGTCTCTCTCTGGTCTCTCTCTGGTCCCTCTCTGGTCTCTCTCTGGTCTTTCTCTGGTCTCTTTCTGGTCTCTCTCTGGTCTTTCTCTGGTCTCTCCCTTGTCTCTTTCTGGTCGCTCCCTTGTCTCTTTCTGGTCTCTCTCTGGTCTTTCTCCGGTCTCTTTCTGGTCTCTCTCTGGTCTTTCTCCGGTCTCTTTCTGGTCTCTCTCTGGTTTCTTTCTGGTCTCTCTCTGGTCTCCCTTGTCTCTCTCCGGTCTCTCTCTGGTCTCCCTTGTCTCTCTCTTTCTGGTCTCTCTCTGGTTTCTTTCTGGTCTCTCTCTGGTCTCTCTCTGGTCTCCCTTGTCTCTCTCCGGTCTCTCTCTGGTCTCCCTTGTCTCTCTCTCTGGTCTCTCTCTGGTCTCCCTTGTCTCTCTCTCTGGTCTCTCTCTGGTCTCTCTCTGGTCTCTCTCTGGTCTCTCTCTGGTCTCTCTCTGGTCTCTCTCTGGTCTCTCTCTGGTCTCTCTCCGGTCTCTCTCCGGTCTCTCTCCGGTCTCTCTCCGGTCTCTCTCTGGTCTCTCTCTGGTCTCTCTCTGGTCTCTCTCTGGTCTCTCTCTGGTCTCTCTCTGGTCTCTCTCTGGTCTCTCTCTGGTCTCTCTCTGGTCTCTCTCCGGTCTCTCTCTGGTCTCCCTTGTCTCTCTCTCTGGTCTCTCTCTGGTCTCTCTCTGGTCTCTCTCTGGTCTCTCTCTGGTCTCTCTCCGGTCTCTCTCTGGTCTCCCTTGTCTCTCTCTCTGGTCTCTCTCTGGTCTCTCTCTGGTCTCTCTCTTGTCTCCCTTGTCTCTCTCTTGTCTCTCTATCTGTGCGTCTACTTCTTTGCCAACGCTTTTGTCAGACCACTTTCTTGCACTTCTGTTCCCATCACCCGTCTCGTCCACTTTCGAGATCTCGTGTCTATTCTTTTCCCATCTCTGATCTGCAGGCGAGCTCTATGTGAACATTTTTCTGTTGGATCTTGGAAATTCCCAGAAGTTTTCCCTGATCTCCCTTGAAGCTGCCACTACTGTTGAATTTTGCATTATTACATCGGCTTCTCTCTCCCACTGATAAAACCAGAAAATGGGTTCAAAGGGAGATGGAGTCTTGGCGTCTTGTGGTACTTGGGATTGGACAAAGTCAAAGCAAATGGGAATCTACAAAAGCCAGTGCTTGGGAATGGGCGAGATCTGAAGGAGGGAAAAAACAAATGCTACTGGAGAATGGAGTGTGTTTAGTGAGAAATCAGTTAAAATGGAATGACTCCGAGACTTGAGGTTACTATGACCTGGCATAACTGTAATCTCTATCTCTCTCTATCTCTCTCTCCAATCTCTGCTCTCTCTTTCTTACACACTTTCTCTAGTCTCTCTCCCCTCTCTCTGGTCCCTCTCTAGTCTCTACCGTCTCTCTTTGATCTCTCTCTCTCTTTCTCTGGTCTCTCTCTCCTCTCTCTCAAGGGCCTCAGTAAGTCTCTCTCAAGTCTCTCTCTCTCGGCTCTGGTCTCTCTCTAGTCTCTACCGTCTCTCTTTGATCTCGCTCTAGGCTCTCCTCTCTCTCTACGCTTTGGTCTCGCTCAAGTCTCTGCTCTCTCTCTCTCGGCTCTGGTCTCTCTCTAATCTCTTTCTAGTCTCTGCTCTCTCTCAAGTCTCTGCTCTCTCTCTCGGCTCTGGTCTATCTCTGGTCTCTTTCTAGTCTCTGCTCTCTCTCAAGTCTCTGCTCTCTCTCTCGGCTCTGGTCTCTCCCTGGTCTCTTTCTAGTCTCTGCTCTCTCTCAAGTCTCTGCTCTCTCTCTCTCGGCTCTGGTCTCTCTCTGGTCTCTTTCTAGTCTCTGCTCTCTCTCTCGGCTCTGGTCTCTCCCTGGTCTCTTTCTAGTCTCTGCTCTCTCTCAAGTCTCTGGTCTCTCTCTCGGCTCTGGTCTCTCTCTGGTCTCTTTCTAGTCTCTGGTCTCGCTCAAGTCTCTGCTCTCTCTCTTGGCTCTGGTCTCTCTCTGGTCTCTTTCTAGTCTCTGCTCTCTCTCAAGTCTCTGGTCTCTCTCTCGGCTCTGGTCTCTTTCTAGTCTCTGGTCTCGCTCAAGTCTCTGCTCTCTCTCTCTCGGCTCTGGTCTCTTTCTAATCTCTTTCTAGTCTCTGCTCTCTCTCAAGTCTCTGCTCTCTCTCTCGGCTCTGGTCTCTCTCTGGTCTCTTTCTAGTCTCTGCTCTCTCTCAAGTCTCTGCTCTCTCTCTCGGCTCTGGTCTCTCCCTGGTCTCTTTCTAGTCTCTGCTCTCTCTCAAGTCTCTGGTCTCTCTCTCGGCTCTGGTCTCTCTCTGGTCTCTTTCTAGTCTCTGGTCTCGCTCAAGTCTCTGCTCTCTCTCTCGGCTCTGGTCTCTCCCTGGTCTCTTTCTAGTCTCTGCTCTCTCTCAAGTCTCTGGTCTCTCTCTCGGCTCTGGTCTCTTTCTAGTCTCTGGTCTCGCTCAAGTCTCTGCTCTCTCTCTCTCGGCTCTGGTCTCTTTCTAATCTCTTTCTAGTCTCTGCTCTCTCTCAAGTCTCTGCTCTCTCTCTCGGCTCTGGTCTCTCTCTGGTCTCTTTCTAGTCTCTGCTGGATGCTCTCTCTCTGATGCTCTCTTGTTACAGTGTAAGAGGCGTTTACTTTCAGAAGCACTAGTGGGTTAGCATTGAGCTAATCTATTGCTAACCCATAACCATTCCCACGTACAGTCTGTGTTGTACAGATTTTAAAGCAAATTAAAATATATGAATGGACATCGTAGACGTCATCCCAGTTATAAAAAGTCCTGCTAAACATAATCTTAAACACTCCATATCTTCATCGTCTCACTCTTCTTTTTCTGTTTTTCGTTCAGTTTTGCAGCTTGGCCTCTGTCTCTCTTTTCCACTCTTCTCTCTGTGATCAAACAATCGTAAACTTCTTCCTTTCCTGTTTTTTTCGCAGTGAATGATTCAAACGTGCAGTTCTTGGACCAGGACGATGACGACGACCCGGACACAGAGCTGTACCTCACGCAGCCGTTCGCCTGCGGGACGGCGTTCGCGGTCAGCGTCCTGGACTCGCTCATGAGTGCGGTGAGCGAGAGTGCTTATAGACACATAGATAGATAGATGGATAGATGGATGGATGGATGGATGGATGGATGGATGGATGGATGGATGGATGGATGGATGGATGGATGGATGGATGGATGGATGGATGGATGGATGGATGGATGGATGGATGGATGGATGGATGGATGGATGGATGGATGGATGGATGGATGGATGGATGGATGGATGGATGGATGGATGGATGGATGGATGGATGGATGGATGGATGGATGGATGGATGGATGGATGGATGGATGGATGGATGGATGGATGGATACATAGATAGATAGACACATAGACAGACAGACAGACAGACAGACAGACAGACAGACAGACAGACAGACAGACAGACAGACAGACAGACAGACAGACAGACAGACAGACAGACAGACAGACAGACAGACAGACGATGCAATTGGATCTAACTGAGACAATGAAAATGATGATGATAATAATAGTAATGATAATATTTTTGATTTATTTGGTTCCTTTCTGGGCACTCAAAGTTGTCACATACACGTTTATATTTTCTTATTCAACATCCAAACAGTGACCTCCACATTTGTCCTTTGGTCTCTCTCCTTTCTCTCCTCTTTCTACTTTCTCTCTTCTCTCCTCTCTGTCATATCTCTGTCTCCACTCTCTCTTCTCTCTCATCTCTCTGGTCTCTCTCTTCTATCTTTCTCATCTCTCCTCTCTCTGGTCTCTCTCTCTCATCTCTCTGGTCTCTCTCTTCTCTCTCTCTCATCTCTCCTCTCTGGTCTCTCTCTTCTCTATCTCTCCTCTCTCTGGTCTCTCTCTTCTCTATCTCTCATCTCTCTGGTCTCTCTCTTCTCTTCTCTCTCTCTCCTCTCTGGTCTCTCTCTTCTCTATCTCTCCTCTCTCTGGTCTCTCTCTTCTCTATCTCTCCTCTCTCTGGTCTCTCTCTTCTCTATCTCTCCTCTCTCTGGTTTCTCTCCTCTCTCTCTCTCTCTCTCCCACATTCGAACGATAACAAAACCTACACTGAATTCTGAATATTGTAAATCGCTTTGGGTGACTCAGGTCCGTAAAATGCGCTATATATAAACACATGACGTACTTACTTACTTAAAAAGTTTCAAATAAGGCTGCACATCCCTGTAGTTTGAGCTAGCGTGCTGGATTAAAAAAATGTAAGACGTAAAAACAGTGAAAAAAATCCACACAGCTATGTAGCTCCCAATCCATCCATCCATTTCTGGGTCGGGGGGGTGGCAGTTGTTAAGGAAGTTTCTATCCAATGAAGGAGAAAACTCAAAGGTCTTTGTCTTAATTCAGGAGCGTAAGTTTATTGTAACACACGTGCGGAGAGCCAGCATATACAAAGAAAGGCAGCATATCCCAGCTCTGGCTCGCAGAGCTCAGGCTTCCTGTTTACATAGAAAGACCGTCACGCCCACAACAGATGGGAGGGGGCCACCGGTGAAGGAGGCGCATAGGGAGCGCAGGCGCCATGCCCCTGTGGTGAGGCAATCAGACACAGGGCATGGAGGTGCGAACAGACAGACAATGGTAGAAATGCAAGCATACAGATGCGAGATGCGAAAGACACAAGGGTGTGACAGACAGCAGGGACCTTCACAAAGCTCAGCATGGCGTCAGAAGGTCGTCTCTGCATTGAAAAGGCCTTTTACGTCCGTGTATTTGCTGCGGCTGGTTTTAATGTGATTACTCTAAAAACTGTCATTACACTCCCCTCTTTTGATAATTCAAAACCATTTTTGCATTAATCAGTTTAATACCAGAGGCATCGTAATCACATCACCTTCAAGCTTGAAACACTTAAATTATTGCTGTCCAAAGTGGACAAGAAAAGAAACATGCTTGTCAATAAAAGAAAGAGCACATTATAATAACACAATGGATCCGGACAGCGATAAGAGAAGACAATATTAACATAATAAACACGGTCAGCACGGAAAGTAGTGTCAGTGTGGCCAGCATAACAGTCCAAGGGCCCATGCCGGTCTTAGCCGGGCTACGTTCGGTAGTCTTTTCCGCGGGAATACTCACGAGCAGTGCCGTCTCGCAGTCAGTGGCACCGCTCCCTATGAGCGTGTGTGGAGCGTTAGTGGTCATGGCGATGTTTGGTCTTGGAGCGGCAAGACTCTAATTGCGTTGAAGCCTTGGCCTCAGCACTCGGTTGGGCAGAGTGCTCGGGGTTTGGGGTGTGGAGACCATGGCTTGAGCACGCTCCAGATCGGCCAGGCCCAAAGCTCGTTTGATGGGAGACCTCACGACAGCACGCTTCACCATGTGCCTCATCAGGAACTGTAGAGCAGCCCTCATCCCCACCTCCTCCGGACACACGGGAGACGAGACACCAGGGGGCACTCCAGCAGAGCTCAAATCTGCATTATGGCCAGAGGGAGCAAGCTCTGGAGAAATCTTTGGAATGGGCAGCAGCTCTGCATACTTGCTGCAGCTGAGCAGAGCGCTCAGGGCCTTCATGGCTCCCAAGCCTTGGGATCCGGGGGCTGGGGAGTTGGGCAAGGGGGGTCGCCTCGGGAACGCTGGGATTCTCTGGGTGTTGTTGTTGGCCTGCTTCACCGACGGTGGTCGCACGCCGGCCGACTTCTTCAGCGTAGGGAGCCGCGGATGGGCCTGGTCCGTCCGCGCCCTCGGTGTCCTCGTCTATGGCCCTCAGTGGCAGCACCGCACGACAGTGGTTGGCGTGGATCCAAGTTGTCCTCTCCGCGACCTTAACGGCAGTGTCCGTCACCAGGAGGGCGAGGAATGGGCCGAGCCAGCGCTTGGACCGCCAATGCTTTCGTCTCGTTTCCTTCACCAGGACCCAGTCGCCTGGCTTGATCCTGTGCAGAGCCGCCTGCGCAGCCTGTGGCAGGGCGCTCCTGACCTGGGCAGAAATAGAGGACAAAAGTGCATTAATTTCCTTACAATAGGACAGCATGTCGTCATCACACAAAGAGGTGCTTGGCAGATCTCTGTTCGGGGGTCCCGCGCCCAAGTTGGGTGGTCTGGCACAGAGGATTTCGAATGGGACTCTCATGCGCATGTACATGAGTGCCATTCTCTCGCTCGCACGCGCCTCCGGACCAGGGGGCGTAACTGCAGTGTTTACGTATATCAATGCCCAGAAATTCACCCACTTCCTCAATGACTTTTGCTACAAAGTGACTGCCATTGTCACTAGAGATTTTCCCTCGGGACACCCCATCGTGGCACAATTTCTGTGAGCAGAGCTTTCACCACCGCGTTGCTCGTGGCGTGTTTGCATGCAAATATTCAGTCCATTTGGACCAGAGATCCGCCAGGCCCAGACAATATTACTTACCTCGGCATGGTGTGAGTTCAACAAAGTCCCTTTGGACATGTTGAAATGGGCGCAGGGGCGGAGGATGAGCAGCCTGTTGGATACTTTTGGGACTTACCTGGGTTGTGCGCGAGGCAGATAGCGCATGTTTGGCAGAATCTCTGTGCAAATGCCGTAAACCCCTTTGTATACCAATTTTGTGTGATTAAATCACACATCCCTCCTTCTGAGGCATGGTCCGACCATGTGCTAAAATTGCAAACTGTCTGAAGAAATGCCGTGGTAGGCACGGTTTGCTGTCTGGTCCCAGCCACACACACCATGCCGTCGTTGAGCCCCATTCCCCTCCCACAGCAGCGTCTCTGCTGGAGTAGCCAGTGTCTGCATCGCTGACAGAGAGGAGAAAATATCAACGTCTTGAGTGAGGTAGTGTGTGTGTGTGTGTAGAGGTGCGTATGCCGCTGCCTTGTCCGCGCGCCGATTCCCTGCAGAGATGGGATCAGTGGCATTAGTGTGGGCCTGGCATTTGCGTACATCGATCTCTAAGGGCAACATTACAGCTTTCAGCAGACGTTCAACCTGTGTGGAATTAAGAATTGGTTTACCATCAGATTTCATGAAATTGCGGTGTTTCCACAGTGCCCCCCAGTCGTGCACCACAGAGAAACCATAGCGCGTATCACAGAATATGTTAACAGTTTTGCCCGCTGCCAGCTCACAAGCCCCGGTGGGCGCGACCAGTTCAGCGGTTTGTGCTGAATGGTAGTGGGGCAAACTACCAGAGTCTATAGTATCAAAATCAGAACACACAGCATAGCCGACTCGGTTCTTCCCAGTGTTGTCACGTGACGCGGCTCCGTCTGTATAAAAAAATCAAGTCAGGATTAGTCAGAGGCACCTCTTTCAGGTCTGGCCTGGGAGTGCATATCTGTTCTATTGTGGCGATACAGCAGTGTGCCTCCCCTTCCTCTGGCGTGGGCAGCAGCGAGGAGGGGTTCAGCTGTGTGCATCTTTTCACCGTGACATTGGGGAGTTCAAAGAGCACCGTGTTGTATTTCAGCCAACGAGCCGCAGAAAGGTGAGAAGTTTTCTGCTCTAGCAGGATCAGGGAAACAGCATGGGGCACAAGCAAAGTTAGTTCAGTGTATCCCACAAGGTCACGTGATGCTAGGGCCGCTTTCTCAGCGGCAGCCACAGCCCGCAGGCAGCGAGGCAACCCTGCTGCCACGGGATCGAGTTTTGCTGAGAAGTAAGCAGTGGGTCTCAGTGGCCCTCCGTGAGACTGCAAAAGTACCGACACCATGCACCCACACCGCTCATCCACGGTCTGAGTGAATGGCCAGGTTGGGTCAGGGAGACCTAGTCTGTGTGTGTAGATTTGCTGTTCCGTTCATCTCCAGTTGCTTTTCTCCCGGATCGTCCTCAATTCATATTGTGGGCTTTTGTGCCAAAGTGGAGGCTCATTTCCTCCTGATCCACACTACTGTCATCCCTGGAGCAGGGGTAGTTTATCTCTCATCTGAAAAAGAAATATCAGAACACAAAAAAAACACAAAAAAATGCCCACTTTCGCTTGTCAATCTTTCTTCCAATTGGGCAAAACATAACTGCATTGACAGACGGTGTGTGGCATCAGGGCGGAGGCTGTAGCCAAATACAGAACAACAAAATGTATGTTTCTAATTTT